AGATACCTCCTAAAATTAAAAGTTAGCCAAATATATTTCTCAGCAACCGCAGGGATATAAATTTCTCTACTTCTGAAATGCTTGATATATGGTATTGCTGGCTGTTCAATAAAATTGTTTTAATGGCTCGGAACTCTGCAACTTATGTTGTTTTATGCTCAATTCCAAGTTTCGCCAGCAGATCGATATTTGAACCAAAGTATTCACAGCCACTTTACAATGATGCTTGGGCACATAAACTAATGAATGGATATGTTTAGTTTAGCAGAAGACATTAGCTTGGAGATTACTTTAAGGTTCCAGGCATACAAATAATTTGATTAACAAATGGATGCCCCAAGGCTCAAGGGGCAAAGGGCGGGGGGCAACCTTGCTGCTCTTCCCGTTTCTTTGCCACTTGCTGTCAGTCCAAAGAAAAGAATCAACTTATGGCCAAGAATGCCGTTCAATAGACGCCCCGCATATAGTAATCCATCAAAGTGCCCAAAGACAAACAAATGGGCGGCAACGGCACTGGGTGTGGCAGTGCGGTGAGGGATGGGAGGGGGGGGGGGGGGTGTAAGTGGAGAGGATGTGTGTGCGTGTGTTCGAAGCAGCTCAGCAGAAGATGCGCGTATTGTAAACAAATGTGTGGATGCCTCATTGCTGCCAAAGTGTGTCAGACACGACTGAAAATAGTTGCAGGATTATGAACGGGGCATGGCAGAGGCAGCGGGCGGAGGGCGGCGGGCGGAGGGCGGCGGGAATAGGGTGCGGAACGGGCTACATGAAAGCGCAACAGCAGCAGCCCGTCAAAGTGGAGCACTTAAAAAATGTTTCCTCAACTAATTAATGAGAATTCTAAGTGCGGCACACACACACACACACACACACACACGCACACACTCATGCTATACTTATGGAACAGTATCCGACAGATGTTCCGGGGGTGTTTGGGGCGTCATTTATTTTGATGGTGCCCCCAAGTGTCGGGCCGCCGGAGCAATTCGTAGGCCAAACTGTTGAATGCCCCAATGAAGCTGTTGCTCTTCCAGTTGCTCAATTGGCTCAGCGACAAGTTCAATTGCCTCTTCGCCCGCTTCGATCCGCTGCCACTTGCAACAGTCTGAACCTGTCTGGCAAATCTTTTATGGTCTAGCTATGCTTAGCCGGCCAAGGGCAGCACCCACACACACACACACACGCACACACACACTGCCACGCCCACCAGCACATGCAGTCTGTCGCTGTTGCTGATGACGTCATCGAATTGCTTGCAACAAGCAGCAGGGGCAGCAGCAGGGGCAGCAGCGCGCGCTGTTGCAGTTGCATTTGCAGCCATGATCGATGTGTCCGATTCACGCCCACAAAAGAAACGCGTGGTGCGGGGCATATCCATAAAGTGCAACTGTGCCTGGCGAGAAAAAAGATATCTCTGTGGCATGTAGATGACATAATATGTACATCAATATGGACAAGAGTTAAGAGTTGACCAGCCTGTAACGAGCACTTCTGGACTGCACTAGTGGAGTCTCTTCTTAGAATTGAATATATATATATCTATGTATATATATATGTATGTATATACCCTGTACTTTTGCCTGACGAGCACTTTGAGCTCCGCTTATGCATCCAATTGGGCTGCTTAGTCTCTGTACTAGAAAGTTCTTTCAATCTTAACTTACTTTATTTTGTCTAGTCTAAAAAGTTCTTTCAATCTTAACTTACTTTAACTGACTTAAATACTGAAACTCTAACTATTATTAGTCTAAAAATTGCACTTTTATAATTTGTTTCTTTTTTTAAATAACTTTTAAGTTTTTATTTAATGAATAGACATATTGGCAACAACCAATTGTTAAAGTTCAATTGTATATAGTATACATATATATAAAATGTACTTCAACAAGCTATATACTATATATACTATATACTATATATAGTATATATACTATATACTGTTAATCAAGAATTGATCAAGAATATTAACGTTTCGGCTGGATTAACTTTAGCTTTAGCTCTAAGATAAGCTTTAGTTGATGCTTTAAGCTTTCATTGAAATTCTCAACCAGTTTCTGAGCTCATAGATATGGGAACATCTATGCTTTATTAGGAATTGAAGACGCAGCTTGAAGTTTATATAAGTTCTTAAGCCGAATTATGTAATTTATCACAATTTATTATTTTTGTTAGCAGCAATAAACTATCCACCCAACTTTTTAATAGCACAGGCTACTGTGGCCTTCTGCTAAGACTAAGACTGAGACTAAGACTAAGATGAGATACACTAGTCTGAATGGCTGGGTCACTTAGACAATTCATCTGAGAGGACTGGATATTTAATTAATTTATGTTTTTTAAATATTAATTTGGTTATTCTATTCATCATGCACCATAGCTATATTCATTTCGAAATTCACAGGGTCATGTTTTGTTTTTAATATTTTTTTTAAAGGCAGCGCATTTGTTAGTCGACTTGTTGGCATTAAATCACGCTGCCCACCAGCAGCCCACTCACATGAGCCAAGCTTCGAGTCGAATAGCGACTATTCAAAGTGATTTAATTGATTTGCTGACAACGATTCGCTGCGTCGCCGCCTTAAATGGTGACCGGTAGCGCATCTTCATTGAGGGACAGACGGACGGACAGACGAACAGATTAAATGAGTGTCAAATCACAGTTATTAGCAGGCAGTGTGTGTGCGTGTGTGTTTGACCCCGAACCACCCACGCAGCTACCACCTTGCCCGCCCGCCCATTGATTGCAAGTGCACACAGCTCGACGCATCTCTCCATGTGGTGCCGGTTGCGTTGTGCTAGTTGCGTCCAGTTGATAATTTGTGCAATTTGTTGACACACATTTCGATGCTCGCGCGAGGCTCACTCTAGCCGGCACGCCAGCGACATGCCTCCATGAGCCGCTCCAGGCTTTGTCTTATCATTGGCCTCTGGCACTGCCCGGAGATGCGGCGGAAATTCGTGGACGCCCACCAGCTGTGGATGAGCCGTTGCCGCCGGACGCAGAATGTGGCGCGGCTACTTATGGAACGCCAACGTCGTTGGTCACGCTCTCAGCACACACACACGACCACACACACACGACCACACACACACACACACACACACACACACACACACAGATAGAGACACAAAGTCAGCTTCGAGATCTGCATTTCAACTGTTGCGATAAAGGCGAGAGCGCAAATTTATGATTTAATTTTGAAATCGTTTTGAGTGGCTGCACTTAAACTATGCCAAAAAAGGCTGATCTTTAGTTTCTACTTAAATATATATACATATATATATATCTTTTAGACGTAAATATACCTATTTGAGGCAATTTGCGTCTGTTACGGTTTATTGTCCGTGTTTTGTACAAACGAATTGCTAATTCATATTTGTGTTGCCTTTGAAATGGCAACAATAAAATGCAATGCTAAAAATAAAAAGAAAATTAAATAGGTGCGTTGCAGTTGGTTGGTTAAAGGCGGGCAGGGGGTGTGGCATCGGGGAGGATTGAGCTCGACCAGCAGATACCCTGTACTACTCGAATTTACTCATGTATATACACACACTAGAAGATAGCCTTGTGTCCAAGTCGAAGTTCTCTTAGCATCTAATAATATATATATATACTTATACATATGTATATATACTACATACATACATGCTCCATACATATGCACATACACATAGACATGGGCAAAGACAGAGATTTTTCGATAGCCACCAGAACTTGTTAACACAACACTTGCTTATAATCAAAGCAGGAAAACCTGAAGGCCTTACTTGCACTTATGAGAATCGCAGAGAAGAGCATTATTTAATAACAATAAACTTACTCTGCGTTTGGTACAAAGGAACATACATATACATACATATATGTAAATTCTCGTACACACAGACACACACACACAGCCAGACACACACGCACATACATGAATACGTAAAAAAAAAGTTGCAATTAATAGGTTTTTCGAGCGTGGTTCGGTTGAAAAATGTTCTCTTTAACATATTTTAGTTTCTTCAGCAACTCTGATAATGTTTAATAAGCCAATTTACATATATTTCGATTTAATGAAATTAATAGTTTCCTTCAATTTCTTTATTTTATTTATAATTATATTGAAAAGTGTAATCAACACTTGCTCTTATTCCGAATGTGAATGAGTTTCTATAGTTGTACATATCGAATAGCTTTCTGATTTTTAAAAAGTAATTAAAATACTTGAAATGCCTATGACAACTGGATAACAAATCGATTTATAATTAACTAGAATCGCAATTCTAAATTTATGAGTTTTACTTCGTTTTTGGAAGCACGCGAATCGTAAAGTTCTCCATAGCTTGGAAATAATATGATGATGTAATGGAAAATCTGTTGGCCTGGGCCTGGGCCTGGGCCTGGGACAGTGACAGTGACAGGGTCGGGGACAGGGACAGGGACAGGGTCGGGGACTGGGCCTGGTTTTTTTTCTTCTTTCTTTTCAGTTTATCAACTTGTCGCTTCACTCTATGTATCCATTTTTGTGTGTCACTGTCAACAAATTGCTTTTAATGGCCGGGTGGGTGGCGCAGCTCAGTTTAGCCGCCCCTTGACTACAATACACACGCACCAAAGCAACCCACCCCCCCGACCTCCACGACCCCCACGCCCATGGCACGGCACGGCTCACAGCCGCAGCTCGGTTGGGTTCGATGCGACTCGGCTCCGTGTGACAATCACGGCCTATGTCCATTGGGGCCGCCTAATTTTTGTGATTTCCGCACGACAGCAACAACTACAACCAAAACAACAACAACAACAGCAGCAGCAGCAATTTGCGCTGTAACAACAACAACAACAACAACAACAAGAGCAACAACAACAAGAGCAACCGCTCTGACGAAGTGCCTCGGCCTGACGAGTCGCTGTGAATGCCGCCGCCGCCGTCGGTGTCGAGCGTCGACGCTGCCGTCGCCGCAGACGCGGCCGCAACGCGTCCCGTTCTTAATTCAGTTGACCAGCAGCCAGCGCTGCGACGAGACACGCGACTAAAAAATATAAATAACATTAAAAACTTATAGAATATCGGACAAAAATAAAAAATAATTGAGATTTATCAGCGCATCTAACACATCTATATAGACAATTATATAGCGTCGGCAGCGGCGCGTATCGAGTAAAAACAAAAACTGCGAGGAAAGCACAGTTAAAGAAATACGAAAAACTTGACGCGTTTTCAGTGCGTTTCGAAAACGCGCGCGTTTTTTTTTTGTTCATTTTCCAGTGCAAAAAAAGAACAAATCTTTTGAAAGAGGTGACAACACATGCGACATTAATTTATATACACACACACACACACACACATGTTTCTATATATAGTATATACTTATGTATAGCATATTATTATAATTTATTTATTTATTTTTTTTGTTTGTTGTTTTTTGTTTTTTGTGCGTGTGCGTTTCGTAAATTGAATGCAAATGTTTGTTGCCGTTGTTGCCGTTGTGCGTGCGATGCGATTATGTTGCCAGGCTGTGTGCTGGGCCCGGCATTGGCAGCGGCGTTCAACTAGACGCCAGGTTCGCCCACCTAAAACGCAGACAGACAGACACACGTCCAACACAAATAGCGACAAACGTTGGCGGGCAACAACAACAAAAACAACAACAACAACAGCAGCAACGAACGGCAACAAGTCCAAGTCCAAGTAAAAAAAAATCAAAAAATGCCCATTGCCCATGAGGGCAACCCATCTGGTATTCGCCTGCCCCGCCCCCCGCCCTGGCCGCGCAGGGAATAAAGCAACAGGCAACAAAATTTTGTTTCAGTTCCATTTGCTTCATTTCAGTTGTTGTTGCTGTTGCTGTTGTTGTTGTTGTCCTCTTTCGCCTGCTGCTGCTGCCAATAAATAAATAACCAGCAAGAAGAATGAAACAAAAGCAATGTTCAAAATAAAAACGAATATGAAAATTAAATAAATGCCAGACGCCAAAAAAAAAAAAACAATAAAGCGAAAGAGCAAAGAAAATAAAAGAAAAACGCCGCGAAAACGCCAAACGGTAGATGCCAGACGAACACTTGTTGAGATTCTTAAGATGCATTTCAATTTGTCTGCTAAATGAAAATCCATATGAAAATATGAGAATATTAAAATATACACAATACATGCAAATAACAGGCTAGCGGGGGGAGAAGTAGTTGTAGGGTGGACTGGCTGTTAAAACGCCTTTTGTGTGCATTTATGGGCGGGGTTTCGTTGGAAATTTAACATAAAAAATGCCACTTTTAAGGATTTTCCAATTAATAGCAAAAATTCGTCTAATGCGAGAAGAGCTCTGATTAACAGCTTAGAACTTAACAGATACAGAGTTATGTTAACTTTTCTGCCTTATTAGATTACAGTTTGATGTATTTGTAATGTAAACGGTAATTTATTGATATTTTTTACTATATTGTTGAAATTGATTTATAGTATTATTTTTTTGTCGCTTTTCTATTGAATATCGTTATTATTATTTATCTGTTACTTTTTACTTTAATTTATTTAGTTTTCTTAGCAGTTTGGGTAAATATGGAAAGCTGCAAATTTCGTTTGTTCTTGGTATTTGTTTTTTTTTCTTTTTCCTTATTTAAATTTTGACTTTTTTAGCTACTCCATATAAATAATCCAGTACTCTTAGCAATTTAGGCATAACTTTTCTTTCAACAGCAATACAAAGCGTATTCACAGCAGTCAGTCAAATAAATCCCATGCTATTTATCAGGAAACTCGATATGGGTAATCCCCAGTTGACAGTCGAATCAGCTTTTGTTAGAATTTCGATAGAATTCATGGGGAACAAGAGACGCTTCCAAGTAAAGATATCCTCTATGAACTAAGTACTCTTAAGATTGTCGCTTGGCCTTCGACTCAAACAAGTTTGTCTGCTGTCAACTGTGCGTGCTTAAAAGTACTCTATATGTATGCATATGCATATGTATATATGTCAGTATATTTATATGTATGCAGATAGCATTTCCCATAAGTTGCATGATGTCTTTCATTGAGTAAAACAAGAAAAATGATAAGTTCATATGCCCAGCAGTTGACTTGATCTTTCTATTGCTAATTTGACACAGCGTCATTTTATGCGGTTTATCTGTTGCTGCTGCTGCTGCTGCTGCTGTTGTGGCAGCTCTTGTTGCAGTTGCTGCTGTTGCAGTTGTTGTTGCAGCTGCCGTCTGTGTTGCTATCTAAACGAGCCGTTGCCGCCACTTGGTCTATTGCCGGCAATGTTCCAGTGATAAGCCGCAGCCACACCCTCAATGTTGCTGCTGCTGCTGCTGCTGCTGCCGCTGCTGTGGCACGACAGCAACATGTATGTTTGTCAAGCTGAGGGACAACTGTTTTACTATCAATGTGCTGGCCAGCGGCGGGCCATTTGTTTCGAGCATCCAATCTGCCTTTATCAAGCTGTGTGTGTGTGTCTCAGTGTGTATGCTTGTGTTTGTTCGAAGTCATTATACAGGCGAGTGACAGCAACTTGAGTGTCAATTGTTAGCTCAAATCTCGGATACACTTTTGAATGGCAGGCACTTAATAGCCATAGCTGCCGTGCCAGCTGCATCCCAGCAGCAGCTACTTGGAAAAGCAACAGCAGCAGCAACAACAATAGCCATATCAAGAGTTAAATCAACAGTAATAAGTATGTACTAGTTGTTACAGCTAAACGGCATCTCCGGTGGCTTTCGGGTATCATCATATCGGCATTGGCCGGTCGCGACGCTGATTGCTGACAACTTAATCAACATTTGAGTACAACAATCTAAGGCATTCTCTAAATATAACACATAGAGTCTATGGCTATTGCCAGCGACGCCGTCAGCTAATAAGCCGCTGTATCTGTATCTGTATCTGTATCTGTATCTGTATCTGTATCTGTATCTGTGTGTGTCCCCGTCTATCTGTCCACCATATCTACACACACACGCTCATTTATATATATATATATATATTTATGTATAATGCTGCCGCATGTGGACTATAATGTGTGTATTTGCCAAATGGCCCTGAACTTTGGGCTCGCTCAATTTGCACTGTCACGAATTGCGAATGTGTCAAAATGCGATGCTGGCACGCAAATCTCTCAGATCAATGCAAGATCTTTGTCTCTCGATCTCTCTCTTTGTTCGGCCTGTCAATTGCGCTGCTGGAGTTGCAACCGAAAGCTGCACTGCTTCCTAGTTGAAGCCACTGACTGCAAGTGCAACATTTATTTAGATACGTTTCCAAGACTCAGCTTAGCATCTCTTTTTATATAACTACCAACGGGTATTTACTGGCTTTGCTCCGGTTCAAGTATATTCTTTCTTTTCCAAGCATTTGGCAGTCGTGGGAAAGTTTTCATTCTATTTCACCCTACTTCCACTCAGTGGAGTGAATTTGACGTTTTCAAATGCTGCATAGATATTTGAACATAGGCTTAGAGGGCTTAGAGTTAAAAGTTGCAATCTACAGTTTTCCATTCATTTTCCGACAAACACACATATTCACTCTGGAGTACTGGAAAGCATTAAAAGTACTTTTCACTTCCACTCTTCAGCCAAAAGGGTGAAGAAAATCTTTATGAAAACTCTATTGAGGAGCTGGTTTTCATTAACTCACACAAATAATTGATTTAAAAACTTACACATTTTATAAATTTTTTGAAAAGTTGAAAAATTATTGTTAAAACCCGGCAAATAAATCACTTCACCAATAACAATAAAACTGAGCCAAAAAAAAAAATATTGATGTTTATTGTTATTATTTTGAGCTCTGCCATATACTGTTCTTATTTATAGCATTGAGGCATATTTATAGATTGTTCAAATTTAGCATTATTCGCCTATTTTCTGCCAGTGTACTTTGATGTACATATACATATAAGGGGGTTTTCTGTTTACTGTTTTTTTTTGATTAGTCAATTGCTTTGTAAATCTTTATTTGTATTTACTGTGTCACCTTTTTGATTACCACTAATACGTTGATTGAATACTTTATTCATGTTAATTTATTTAAATCTTTACACACGCGAATGTACCGTTCCTTTTCTGACACGGAATTGTGATCTTGAGCTAGATTTGAATTGCTTTCCAGATAAATTAGTTAAGATTTTTTCAGAAATATGTGCTGATAAATGCTGTTACGTTATTGAGTTAAGAACAAAACTAACAGATGTGCATTTTCACGGAAATCGTTTATCGATAGACATCGATAATTATCAGGAGACTGCACCGATAATTCTGACATGAGTAATCGGCAAATAGAAAAATCGGCGATATCGTCAATAAAGAACATATTATAGATGACGAATAACAACATCGAACGAATAGCATTATGTAGTCATGGCTCATACGATTAGCTATGCCAATATGGCAGGCCTCATTATGCTCATAAAAGAAACTGGCCCTCGGCAAATACTTTTGCCTAATTAGATGTGCAAACATTTGACAAATTTCAAACTTTCGATCGGGCATAAAATAATCGAAGGTCGCCCACACGACCATAGATCATAGGAGCCACGGCAAGTTACCCAAAAGCAAATCGAGTTTCCCCGGTAAAAACGTTTGGATAATTAAATAAATACGATTTGACAAAAGTACATTAAAATGCATGAACACAAGCGAAGCGCGCAAATAAATCAAATAAACCAAAGGGCGGACAGTGCGGACAAAACGAGGTGCGCTTTAAGAGTTGTTGGCGGGCAGCCGGGGCGGCGGGGTGATTGGGAGGCAGCCCAAGTCTAGGCAAGCCAAAAAACAAAAAAAACCGACCTCAGACACATATGTGCGACTGCAACAGCTATAATTTTTGTTTTTTTTTTTATTTCTGTGCAACAAGTGTGAACAACAATTGCAATTTGCAACATTTTTTTATTGTTGCTATTACTAAACTTATGTATTTTGTTCATGCGTACAGGCGACTATTCTAATTGTAGCATAGCTTCCATTTGTCTAGCTGACCCCATTTGGTATGTGGGCAGACCCCCCCCCCCCCACCACCCACACACACCCCTTAAAAAACCAATCCGACAAAGGCAAAACAACTGTGAAAAGCTGGCAATGGTAACACAAAGCGTAGATACCCTTTAATATAGGGAAAAGAATGGAAAAAATAAATGCAAAAAGTTCTTTATATAATAGAATATACTTGAAATAATATACTCACTTTTAATATCATAAAACTGAAAAAAATGGAAGATAATTTAATGGAATATATTGTAGAAATTTATACGCTTAAATCCCGCGTGAAAAATATTAACAATATTATAATAAGCCAAAGACCACTTTAATTTGGAGGAATGATCATAATTTAATATACTATATAATATGATTAATTGAAATCAAAAAAGTATGAATTCTTGATGACATTATTGGCAGTTAGATATAATAGATATGAGTATACCAAATATACATCTATTGATCACAGATTTTTATCTCTAGATTTGCCCTCGAAAACTGTGTCCAAAAAAAAATAAAACATCTTTAATATAAGTTTGTTTTCTTTTTCTGATCGTATCTTGAGATCCGATTTGTTTATAAAAAACTATCCATTTAATATGGTTTAGTTGAAAGTATAAACAGCAGCAACATAAATAGCTTGGATCCCAACCAAACTAAACTAAACTAAATTTGGCAGTTGCCAATTGTGAGATCAAAGATCAAGAGATTAGTTTTCAATATGACACGTAATTCTACATAAAAACAATTGAATCTGGGCTGTTGTATGTCGAAAACCAGACGCACAGGTCGAAATTAAAGACAGGAAGCTGGTTCGAAGCGTGAACCGAAACTGCGACCCAGGCACAAACAAGGAGATATAATAGAGTGTGTAGATGTCTCTGGCTACAAAGAAGTATGTGATAGCCGTAGTCGGTGTTAAACAGGCCTATTAAAACTCTTGTAGAGTTCGATAGTCGTTTGTCGATTTGCAGGAACCGCAAAAAAAAACAAGTAAGTGGTTCTAGCCGGGAGCTCCCGACTAGGGGATACCCTGAGCCCTCTTCTTCAGACAGGCGATAGGTATAAAATGAAAGATATCTGAGATATATATACTATTCTAGAAGCTACATGTCAAGTTTGGTGACTCAAGCTCATATTATTCGCCGAAATTGCTCAAAAACAGGATTTCGATATCAATTTTTATCGATTACTTGGAAAAGGGGCAAGCTGTCAAATATCGGAAACAAACTCGATGTGCGCGGGCACTAGGAGGACCTACAGCTAACATTTCAAGTCTCTAGCTCTTATAAGTTCTGAGATCCTTGCGTTCATACATACGGACAGACGGACGGACAGACAGACGGACATGGCTAGATCGACTCGGCTGTTGATGCTGATCAAGAATGTCACTTTATGGGGTCGGAGATGCTTCCTTCTGCCTGTTACATACATTAGCACAAATACATTATACCCTTTTTACCGATTTTCAATGGGTTCAGGGTATAAAAAATGAAATGAAAAACAGATGGGGAAATGGAAAAGTGGAAGTGAAAGACTTGAAGAAGACGATAAAGGCGGCTCAGATAAAAGCGTCCGGCTTGAATCAAATAATTGTTAAATATACTATGTAGAGTAATTAAATGCAATGATGAGCCAACCCCCGCCAACTACGCGCCACACCCAAAAGCCGCCGGCAATTGACCAAGCCGCTCACGTACATAACTAAGCACCGTGGCTCATCGTGGTATCATAATAATGACAGCGATTCCGCCCCGGTCCCCGGGACGGTGCAGAGAGTGCGGTTGCCGGTTCGGATTTCGGGCGCGGACTCGATGTCGGATTTGAGCTGTTCGCCAAATTCGGATGGGGCGCTGCGCACGCGCCACTTGCAGACAGTTGTATCGACCATCGGGCAATTAGTGTATGCCAAACTGGCGCAATACCCGTGAGCTGCATGCAAATGCGGCATAGGGTCTCCAAGTATACTCATATGCCCAGCAATTCACCAATTCCAATCGAAGTGGCGGTGGCGACAGCGCCGGCAACAGATTGTCCATGTTTTTAGGCGAGTGCCCAATGTCCGATGCCCGTACCCGTGCCCGTACCCGTACCCGTGCCCGTACCCGTGCCCGTGCCCGCCGTGCATGTGCATGTCCGAGCAGCTGCTTATGGCTTTTCGGTGTGGTCTCTCTCTCTCTCCCATTTTTTATGGCCCAACGGAGGCGGCGACGGGGTCGTAAACCCAAATTGCAATCCACATGCCTCCAAGTAATGCTCGGTAATTGTGGCGTGTGCCGCGCTTCTTTTTTTGTTGGCTCTGTTGCCTTTGTTGCTGCTGCTGCTGCTGCTGCTGCGGCCATTTAACGAAAATGAAATGAAATTAAATGCAGTTGACCTAAAAATAGCAAATGGCCAGGCTAGGCCAACCGCAGAACGGGCCAGCGACCCACTAAGCATTACTAACATGCAATATGTATGTTCCGCACAAACATATGTACATACGTAAATATGTACATGCATACACGCACACACATGCACAAAAAACAAAGTTGAGTAGATTGCCAGCAGAACTTGTAAACACAAGAAATATTATCAAAGCAGGATAACCTGTAGGCCTTACTTGAATTCATGAGAATTGCAGAGTAGGGCAATTTTAATATTAATTTGCATTTAATATAAGGGAATATGCATACATATGTACCCACATATTTACATACCAACTTACATACAAACATAAATATATACATAGATTCATAGATACATACATGCATATATAAATATATATACATACTTGCGTGTAAACATACATACAAACATACATACACAGATACATACTAACATACAGACAAACATACATATATACATACATGCATACATGCAAACAGACATACATATATATATGCATACATACATACATACACACAGAAATAAATAGGTACATAAATACATACATACACACAGAAATACATAGGCAAATACCTACATACATATATAGATACATATGTACATATGTATGCAAACATATATAAATACTTGCATGTATACATACATACTTACATGCATGCATTTATACATGCAAGCTCATATACATGAATGCGTACATACATGATATACATATGTATATACATACTAATATACATAACTTCATTAATACAAGCATGCAAACATACATACCTGCACAAATACACACACACATACATATCCACATACAAAAGTAAAGGTTCTTAAAACGCGAGCAGAACTTGTTAATATACGTAGCAGTTCAATGCAAAGCATGAAAAACTGTCGGCCTCACTTGAACTTATGAGAATCGCAGAGTAGGGCAATATTGATAAATACGTTTTCTTTTCAAATTGGCAGCGCAGAAGCAAAGTAAACAAAGTCCACATTTGGTATAGGGTAACATGCTTACTCCCATTAATATATGTATGTACATGTATATGTGTGTGTGCATTTAGCTGCATATACACATACATATTTACACATACATATTTGCACATATAAATACTCGCAACAATGCGCAATCTGATTGATCTAATAAAGCATTTAACATACATTTATGCATCTAGATATGTACAGATAAAACCTTTAACAAACTGGGAATAATTATAGTAAGACAAATTGGATGATAAACAAAAAGTTAACCACACGCAGGCCTTAAATAATCGTTGAATCACGTATTGCTTTTGATAATGTTAAGCTTTCAATATGAGCTTGGAGGCGAACATCAAATCTTTGCCCATACTGTGCACTCTATTATCCACACAGCTGGTTTTGGTTATCGGAAAAGTGTGAAACAATGAAAATTTTTAAATATTTTTAAATAAATCGGTTTCCGATTTCCACAAATGTTCCACAGTTGCGGGTGAAATGAAAAACAACATTAAAAATTGCAGCTTGCTAACACTTACCTGCCTTGGGCTGTGCATTGATTATCAATCAGTCAGTCAGTCAATCGGTCGACCAGTCAATCATTCAGTCAGTCAATCAGTCAGCCAGTCAGTCAGTCAGTCAGTCAGTTAGTCAGTCAGTCAGTCAATCAGTCAATCGGTCGGCCAGTCAATCAGTCAGTCAGTCAATCAGTCAGCCAGTCAGTCAGTCAGTCAGTCAGTTAGTCAGTCAGTCAGTCAATCAGTCAATCAGTCAGTCAGTTAATCAATCAGTCATTTAGTTAGTCAGTCAGTCAATCAATAAGTTTGTCAATACAAACAACTTGGCGTGAGCGATTGCTCCTCTGTTTTGGGTACTCGGGCAAGTCGTGGCTCGCCCTGCTGATGCCAGGTGCCAATAATGACAGTGTTGTCGCAGGTCATGTGAGGCCAAAGTTGGTGGTTGTTGTGCCGACGATTTGATGCCCGTGCCACACATCAAGTGTGGCTGCAATTAACCCAATTTACGGGCAACAATCTATGCACGCTTCCACTTCGGGCCACCCGCTCGCGGGGCTGTCAATCACAACATTCAATTATGGTTATGGGCTGCGGCAGCAGCTACTCGCAACGTGCAACAAAATGTGCTATGCCAGAAAGTTGCAAGCAGCGCTGTCCTGGGCCGCTGCCGACGTCAGCGTCTGACCCATTTGCGGCGCACGCACGCACACAGCGACAGCATGAAAATCGGGATTGGGAAATGGGAAGTGGGAAATGGTCTGGGACACACCCACAGACATGCAACCGCAACGACCACGACGACCACATCCTGCCATCAAAGGCAGGCGACGACGACGACGACGACGTCGCTGTTGCCAATGACGCAGGCGGCACTCAGCGGGCGGCATTGTTGCCGCCGCGTGGCAACGTGCCGAGTGTCTAGTGTCTAGTGTCGAGCGCTCAGTTGGCATTGGGACGCGTGCGAAATCTGTTGCATATTTGCGAGCTGCGCGATAAGCTGTTGCATACTTTGAAGCGCTAAACGAATCACATTTCGCTTGTTATTCCGCAGCACTTGCAGCAGCGCATCAGCAGCGGCAGCATCCACAGCGGATGCTCACAAGATGGTGCACCACGGCAACGACGATGCGATGAACAAGATTCCACTCAAATCTTCCAGCGGCCTGGACGATGAGGAGAAGAATGGCGGCGAACTGATGCAGGACACCGCCGCTGCCGAGGAGGCGCGACGCGAGCAGATGTAAGTCTTGAAAACGATACTCAAATCACTTTCGCCTCAATTTCGCCAAGTCTCGAATTGTTAAAACTTGTTCCAATTGGATAAATGGAATTTAAGATATATTATAGTATTTATTTTTTATATTTTTACTATACTATTTATTATGTTTGTTGTGTGAGGCTAAGAAGGTGCTTTTGTGCAAATTTTAAATTGTGATTATCTTAAGAAGAACATCTAGTCAGAAAATATAAAAGGTTTTTCTATATACTTAACTGAAATATAAAATAGTATTCGCCTCTTGAGATCAGCTTTTTTCGATTATTGATATGGAAAAAATCAAAATCAAATTTGTTAAATAGATGTTCCAATATCCATAATCTTTCACTATGCTTGCTTATGTTAAGGGTTATAGTTGCAGAAAATGTAGCATACTTATTCGGGCTTTGAATATCGTATATCAATCTAGGCTGCGAACAAGTTTTGAATAGTAACCTTTACCATGAAAGAAACCCAAATCAAACTATTTGTTCATTTAAAGCAAATCAATTTCTAAATGAAAAACTTTTGAGCCAAACTTAATCCAAAGTTGCATTTATCATTTACCATATTTGATAGATGCTAGTTTTGGGTAGAGATCAAATCTAGCCCGCAAATTGTGTTCAAAAATATGAACGACTTGCAATATTTTCATAAGAACGGGCAGTTTTAAATAATAAATTTAAATTTTTAAATTGTTGTTAAATTAAGAAAATATATGACAAAGTAAAATTTAAAGGTTCAAAAATGTAGTAAACAAGGTTCACGAAGCGAGCCTGGTATCTAGACAAAAGCTATCTAAAAGGGGCAAACATTAGAATTGGATGTTTTTGAATGTCGTAATTGAGGCGAAAGTGGTTTTCGGAACATTTAACCCATCTATGATTGAGTTTCGAATGTGTATATGTGTTATGCCGTGTTGCAGGCGTGCCAATCTGTTGGCCTGGATGAAGAAGCTGACGATTGTCCTGATTTGCTTCATTGGAATCGCCCTGATAAGCTATGTGATCATCAGCCTGTGCTTCAGCGGTAAGTGGCAGCTGGTACCGATTGACAAAGTGGCCAATTCCACAACCCTAACCACTCACTCACAAATGCCAACTAATCCAATCACACACACGCACACACACACACACACACACCAACATATATCTATATAGATAAGTATGTGTGTAGATAAGCATCACAACCAGCAACAACAACAAGAACCACAGCAACAACAGCAACAACAACAACAACAACAACAAGAACACAGTGAAAAATGTTGCATATAAGCTTTGCATGCCTCTGTCATTCGATTCACAATCCTGCACCCTGTGGCATCCACTCGTAATGTTATATTTATTCTATTGTGGCACCAAAAAAATATATATGTATTGACAAGAAACTCTTACACCTTAACTTACTAAACAACAACAACAACAATTGCACCGACAACAACAACAACAACAACTAAAGACTGGCCAAAGTCAACGCCCTTGCGAGCCAGCAACAGCACAGTTGCAACAGCAACAACAGCAACAGCAACAACGACAGCAACAGCAGCAATTGTTGGCAGCAGCACAGCAGCAGCAACAGCAGCAGCAACAGCAGCAGCTGCGGCAGCAACAGATGCTGCCGCAGACGCCGCGCCCTCGTCACCGGCACCGACAACAACAAGAACAACTAGCACAACTAGCACACCAACAACTACAACTACAACAACAACAACAACAACAATAGAAAGCACACCAACAACAACAACAACAACTACAACAACAACACCACCAAGCAATCCAAGCACAAGCCACACATTTAAAACATTTACTTCAACAGATGAGCAGCCGCCAGATTCGCTGCACAACAGCAACAACGACAGCATCGAGGCAACAACAATTGCCGCAACAGCAGCAGCTGAGGAGATTCCAATAGCTGGTCCTGCGGTGGCCGCCTCCACGTCGGCAACAACGCCACCTCCGTCGCCGGCAACAATACTGGACAACAGCAACATCGAGTTTTCATCCAAATTGGGCGTCTTTGAGCATGCGGCCGTCTGCTCGGATGTGGAGCCTTGCAGTCAGATTGGCAGGTACAGCAAACTATTCCCCTTAATATTCATATCACCATATTGATTGATTGATATGACTCATAATTCAAAAGCTTCAATTACTCCAACATATTTTTAGAAAAAACACAATACCTTAAAGATTTTCTATAGCAAAGCTGCTTCAAATGCTTGCTTAAATGAAAAGCTCATTTTATGTACTTCTAAAGCTGCTTCAGCTTTAACATAGGTTCAGCATAAGAGAGCGAGAGGGGTATAATTAATACTCGAAAGGCTTTTATAAAGCTTTCAAAGCTGCTTACACTTGGAAGCTTAAAACAACAAATGATCAACAGCCCATGTGGCTTTTATGTTTTTTCAAAGCTGCTTAAGCTTTCAAATAGTATCTTCATATCTAGAGTGAGACGGGAATATTTAATACTTAGAAGCTCTGAAATGCTTCTCGTAAACTTTTTAAAGCGGTTTGAACTTGATTACTACCTACTAAAAGATGCTTTAGCTTTGACATAGATTCAGCATAACAGAACGGGAAATGTATAATTAAAACTCAAAATATTTTTATAAAGCTTTCATCGCCTTTAAAAGCTGCTTAAACTTGTAAGCTTGAAATAACAAATGATAAACAGATTTAAGGGGAAAATGCTATCTTCTTCTAGCCCATGTAGCTTTTATGGACTTTCAAAGTTGAAAGCTCTTCAAAGCTCTAACTTAAAAGCTCTAATGTGCTTATCGTAAACTTTTTAAAGCTGTTCGAACTTGATTGCTACCTACTAAAAGCTGCTCAGGCTTTAACATGGTATCATAATAATAAAGAAAAGCTCTTCTATGCTTCTCAAAGACTTTCAAACAGTGCTTAAAAGCTTTCGGGGCATATTCGATGAGCTCATAAGTGCCAAATCTGGCGAAATCTTTAAATGTGTATTCACAACTTGAATCCTGAAATGTGCTTTAACTACGCCCCCGCTTCCCCTCTTCCCAGTGATATCCTGAAGCGCAATGGCAGCGCCGTGGATGCAACAATTGCAACAATGTTGTGCAACGGCCTCCTGACTGCCCAAAGCATGGGCATCGGCGGCGGCCTGCTGATGAATATCTATGACCGTGAGTCCCAGCGGGGCCATCAGATCGATGCGCACGTGCTGGCACCGTATGCGGCCGATCAGAAGATGTTCGACAAGGACCCGAATTCCTCCTTCACTGGCCCACTGAGCATTGCGGTGCCGGGCGAGGTGATGGGCTATCATTTGGCACACCAGCGCTTTGGCAAGCTGCCCTGGCGGGATCTGGTGGCGCCCTCGCTAAAGATTTGCGAGATTGGCTACCGAATGACCAAGCATCAGGAGAAGAGTGTGCGCAGCGTGTGGTCTACCATCAAGGACAATCCGGAGTATCAGTAAGTCGATAGGCACTTGCCTTTAAGAATCCTTTATATAAATCCCTTTGATTCGTAGGAGCATCTTTCTGAATGTGGAAACGGGCGAGCAGCACGTGGAGGGCACACTACTGAAGCCATCGGCGAAGCTGTGCAACACATATCAGCTGCTGGCCGAGAATGGGCCGATGGACTTTTACAACGGGACTGTGGCCAAAATGCTGGCCGAGGATCTGAAGGAGCTGGGCAGCATCATAACCCAGGACGATCTGGATGCATACACAGCTGAAATGCGGCACTCGGTAACCATGCCCCTGGGCGAGGATACACTCTATGCCGTGCCGCCAGTGAGCAGCGGATCTGTCGTCTCCCACATACTCAGCATTCTGGAGGGCTATAATTTCACCCGCTCCGATTTGGCGGATGAGGAATCCTATGCCCTTACCGTGCATCGCATTACCGAGGCGATCAAGTTCGGATTTGCCCGTCGCCCCGAGCTGGGCGATCCGCGCTTCAATGAGGTGCGCGAACTGGTCAGCCAGCTAAACAATCCGGAATATGCTGTCCAGCAGCGCGCCAAGATCAACGACAGCCATGTGCTGAGCGGACCGCACGAGTACGGCGCACAGTTCTCCTCCGACGAAGATCCGTACGGCACCTCCGCGCTCGCCGTGATCGCGCCCAACGGCGACGCCGTCGCCGTGACCAGCTCCATCAATTTTTAGTGAGTGCCCACAATTAAAATAATCTTAAATAGATCCATTTCATATTCCAAACAGCCAACAAAGCGAAGCTATATTAAGGGCTGAGATCTCTGGTCCGGTTCACGGTTCGAACCAATAGAGTTCAAACCTTGATCATATCACAGCTTTTGTCAATTCGAATGAAACAGCTTAACATATTTAGAATATGGGTTATCTGGGCTTATGTGAATGTAGTTCAAATTCCGGACTCAAACCGGTTCGGTTGCAGTCCCGATCACAGTATTCATTTAAAGCAGATTGATTCGATTGTGATTAATATAGAGTCGATTGATTTGATTGTGATTAATACAGAGTATATATATATATGCGACAATTCTTAACGATTTGTTTCCAGTTTCGGCTCCGGCCTGGTTGGACCACGCACAGGCATCATATTGAACGACGGCATGAACGACTTTGCTGTGCCGCACAATTACTTCAAGCTGCCGCAGTCGCCGGCGAATACCATCGACGTGCACAAGCGACCCATGTCCTCGCAGTCGCCGATGCTGCTGGCGGACCACGACGGCAACATACGCCTGGCAATTTCGGCTGCCGGCGGCAGCAAGATCGTGCCGGCCATTGTCGAGGTGGCCGCACGCTATCTCTGGCTAGGAGATGACCTGAAGGCGGCTGTGGATGCGCCGCGGTTCTACAATCAGCTTCTGCCCGACGTTCTCGAGTACGAGTATGGCAAGTATTCGGAGTCGCTGCTGCAGCTTCTCCAGAAACGGGGCCACAATCTGCAGCCATTGAAATTTGATGCCGCCTCCGTTGTCTGTGCCATTGGACGCAATGCGACGGCGGTCTATGCAAATGCCGATTATCGTAAGCGCGGCGGCGTTGCCGGCTTCTAGGCGCTATCGCACACACACACACACACACAGACAGACACACAAACACACACACAAACAGACACACTCTCATACACACACATAACCACACACTAGCGTATCGTCAAGTGAGATTAGTTGGAGGAATGAAGCGAGAAGCAAGAAGCAAGAAGCGAGAAGCAAGAAGCGAGAAGTGAAGGCGAAATCGAATATTTGCAAGTGAAAGTATTTAAGCTAGCTATGTCTTTTTTTTACATATATGTATGTATATCGTATGTTAAATAAATTTATATGCTACCTACTACTACCTTATACAATAAAAAACAACACACATTTTTTTTTTCAACACTTGCACGTTTCTTCATTGGAGGAGGGGCGCGAAAGCGAGAGGTATCTGTGAATACTATATATGAGCTAAAAAAAACAAAAACAGGATGTCATTATCGATATTTATCAATTTTCTGTAAGCGGAGCGAGTTATCGATCTTTTGAAATAAAATCAACATTATCGTGTACAAGCAGGACCCTCTCAGACTCTGAGATCGACGGGACAGATGACATAGATTTACAATATGGAAAGTGCCTCTTATAAACATTTTCACGAAACCATAACTTTGTTTTTACAGGGTATATATTCTGTTACACGTGATCCCGAATTATAAAACCTGAGATGAAGCTTGGGTTTACTTATTCTCCGTGTAGAAGTTTAACCGACAGTCAAACTGCTTGTCAAATATTTAACAAAGATGGACAGAGAAAAATGAGCATTGAGAAATTGAGAAAATGATCTCTGAACATAACCTGAGAACATTTATGATTTATTGAATAAATACGTACGTATCACGGTCGTTCGCCCGCTTGAAATTTGTGTTAATAAACAGAAACAGGAAATTAGAAACTCAACGTTAACACATAAAAATAACCAACGAGCGTCAGCACTGTGATTTCATGTTTCTTGGATGGAACTGGGTGGTGTTTTGGAACTGGTGAAATTAATAATGTGACTAGCTAGACATATATATACACACATATATAAATATATATATATATATATATATATATATGATATATATACTATTATGTCATTTTCGAAGTCTTCTCCTTTGGCTTGCAAATATCATTCGCATACTGCTCGACGGCGGGCGGGATTCGCAGCGCCACGTCGGGCATGGAGCAGAGGAAGGAGATCTCGAAAATCGCTGGATGGCTTGAATAAATGTGATCTAACATGCTAATGAACCAGAACATCAGGTCGCTAATGTAATGTATGCTGCTTTGGGCAAAAACGGCGCCGGCATCGCTGCCATGCTGGTGTGAGTCAATGATGGCTGCAATCGAGGTGCGCAGATCGATGGTGACCATGACGGTGCGACAGTCGGCAACAATGGCGGCAAACAGATGGGAGGGCACGTCCCAGCCGTCGCCCTGCTGGAACACCTCCAGTGTGGTGGTAAAGATGCGCGAGAGCTCGACACCGACAATCATGGGACTGAGTGGATCGGAGCCAACCTGGGTGAAGAACCACTCCTCTAAGCGAAAGTTGATCTTCTGATGCGATCGTATCGCTGACAATGCGTCCGGTATATTAATATTGAGGTTCGCCGATATTAGGTCGTGATAGACATTATTGCCATCGTTGATTGATTCGCCAATTAAGTCCCAGGCAACCTCTGGGAACTCAGCTACGTTCTGGCACAAGCTTGGCATCTTGGACACCTTATCCGCAAGTATTAATGAGATTAGGGTACAGGAATTGGTACCGCTCTGTCGGAAATCGCCAAATCGGGATTGGCAAAAGTCCTGCGGAAACCACCAGATGTTCACATTGCCAATTTCCTCGTGAAGAGCCATCTTAAACGCTTGAGCTGCAGTTTTTCTCTCTCTCTCTATATATATATATATATATATATATATATATATATTCTCGATATTCGATATTAGAGGTCTGACTCCTTCTGGACTCAAGGTCTTCGTCACTTTTTCACAAGAATTCAAGAGATTCCTCTTGTTAGTTGGTAAAACATGAAATATTCGATTTATTTGGAGAGGCGAGTCGAAACATATACGAAATTTAATTTTGAAGACAAAAGGGAGAAGAAATTCTAACAAATAAGTAACATACTGTATCTTAGACAGAAAACTGTATGCCTTACTGAATACGATATTTATGACATAATCCAATGCCCTTTGATAAACAATTTGCATAAGTCAAGCACACAGAACACAGCCATTGAAAACTTAATCAAAACGACAAATCATGATCGAACCAAGTTATGAGACTTGAAATTTAACTGCAAATTTTTATTAATTTTAAATACTGGTTTTTGTTTTGACCAATGTCTTTTGTCTTATATTAACACACGTTCGAAATATTTTTAGACATCCTTTTACACTTTGTGAGAAAATAGAGTTCCCTCTGCGAGGGCATACAATCACAACATATTTGGACAATTAATTATATATATATACATATATTTATAGCTACTTGGATATTTATGCATAGATAATCACAATCAGAGAATATTGGCTGAGTAGGCCATTTTATCAAGATTACATTTAGGAATCTTAAAGCTAATTAAATATCTTAGTACAATTGTCAGTCATATTCGAAGCTCAATATGAACTTTATGTTCCCTTGTATTGGCATTAACTTAAATAAATGTTTTTAAATATAATTGGAATGTGGATTATTTTAATATGCAAGTGTACATTTAGATTCTAAGTAACACTTCAATTTTACAGGATTCTACTTCCCATTATTCCCCCTGAAAAATGCTAGAAGCGTAACCTTGGTTTTGGTTTAACAAACTTAAATGCCGAAAGAAAGAAAATTGAACTCGTTGAAAAACCACCCATGCATAGCTAAAGGCTTAGTCAGTATTATGGTCTTAGTGACCCTCGATAGGTGTCATTTCAGTCTGGCTGTGCTTCTCCTTCTTCTTCTCGTCATTCGACTGTGGCAGCCCATAGATCAAAACCTTAGAACGTACCGTCTTGCATCCGGAGACCTTCACATCTGTTGTGTTGACCATTTCCTCGACATAGCGCTCTTCCAAGTCAAGACCCACCACTTTGGCCTCGTGGCGCACACACTTTTCCAGATCAGCCGGCCCAAAAACACGATACGGTATAACCGTGGTTGGCGGCAACTTCTGCAGCATCTTTAGCTGCTGGCTGTAGTGCTCCTCCGGAAGCATGCCGTTCAGATTGAAAACATAGATGATTGTCAGCTGCTTCTTGTCCAGGTCGTTGTTACCACTGGCCACGTCAGTGTTTGATAGTATCAATGAATTAATTGATGATACATATTCCAAATCACACATGGCCATGTTGTCAATGATTATCAAATTGCGGCCGCAATGTGCCAGGTTGCTGAGCATGCCCCATACGGCTTGGTAGCGTGCCTCCTCGTCTGTGAGCTCATAGTCATTCCAGGCAATATTCTGGACGTTCTCCGACCATGGATACTGCTCCTGCAGCATTCGCATTGTAAGGCTTTTGCCAACGCCCGAAGTTCCAACCAGCGCAATGGCCTGAAATGAGCTTTGATTGGCCAACGCCTGTTCCAGCTGTTCGAGTGCCACCTCCTGATTAATGACATTCTCGTGAATGTGCTCAAATATTTCGTGCAAAGGTATGGTGCGATCACAGTAGTTCAGCTTGTTGTGCACTATAGCCTGATACTGGGTAGAGTAACGCTGCATGAACTTCGAGACGGCGTCGGTATTTTGATACAACGTGATGCCGCAGCTGAAGCACAACACCAAAAACATGGGCACCAAGGTGTACCAGAAAAACGACCAGCTTTGTTGCTTCAGATTGGAACGATTGGAATCCCTGCCAGAGTGCTTATCCGACGAGAAGAGGCGACGCAATCGGCGGCGATTCCATTGGCGCTGCAAATGTGTGCAAAGATTCCAGTTGCTCTGCAAATAGCAATTGCTCAATTGCACAGCGCGTCGTTTCAAAAACGAGCGGTTTCTGGCCTTTTGGGCCTTGACGTCTGATGAGTCTCTTTGTACCCTTTTGTCTGTCTCTGCAATCCCCATTTTGGTTTTGTTATTAATTTAGATGAAAATTGAAGAGAAACTGAGGAAAAGCCAAGAATTTCAATTTTAAGTAGTAATGTTAAATTACTAAGGTATATCGATAGGTCGATGTTTTACCAGTGGTTGATTCGATGTCAACAGAATGCTTTGGGACGAAAGTTACAAATATTCCTCGGTTACTTGGATTCGTGTCGATTTAAGTGAATATAAAAGTGCAACTAGAATTTAGTTAAATAAACGTGTCTGAATTGCATATTAGTATTAAGGGAATCCAACTGTTCGCGCCAAATATTTGTACTCACTAGTCGATACCGTTGTTTGTCAATGCTACCTGTGATTGGCATTGTACAGTAATATTAAAGGAATCGATTGTTCGCGCCAAGTACTTGTAATCAGTTATCGATACCACTTCTTATCGATGCTACTCGCACTTGGCTATAAAATGTTTACAAATTATTTAAGGCTAAATAATAATTAAACACAATGGAAACGTAAGTGAAGCGTTTAATACGAACTGAGAAAATTGTATTAACATACTTAATTCTTGATAGCGTTAATGCCACTTATGCGTACGTCACCAATCTAGAGGTAATGCATCTACTACAACAGATTAAGGGCACCAAAAAGAAGTTTGGAATGCGCAACCTGGCTACGGTCACCTACGAGGTATAACATGTCGAGCAGAATGTCAAAACTGGCATCAAAACTAAAGAAAAAGTATTATTTACACAGGCTCTACAGTTCCTGGAAGAATCGCCTTGTAAAACACAAACACGTGAGTCCATTCATGGCTACTTGTGCGACTTGGCCGCCTACAGGCTGATGCCCCACGAGATGCTACAAATGGTTAATGATCCGCCCACTAGTGCACTGCATACTCAACTGGTGAGCGCAATTTAAGTCTTTTAGTGTGTTTGTTACTATTAAATATTTTGCTACAGCTCATTGATGACAATAAAATCCCACTTACCGACGAGGAGAACGAGGCCATCATTGAGCTGACGCGCAAACACTTCTATAACTCTGGCGCGGATCAGTTGCAACCGAACCAGGCGCAGGGATAACTAGAGTTTAGATCTTTTTATATTTGATGTAACTTGCGTATAAAATAAGCACATTTCTTAAACAGGACGAAAATGGCTATTGGTTCTATGATGTTAGATTAACGCTTCTGATCGCCCAAATCCTCGATGACATCTTCATCAATTTCGGCCCATTTATCGGGAATGACGTCAAATAAGTCATCCTTCACATCGCCCTGTATGACAATTTCATCATCGCCAGTTACTGACGAACCGCAAGCGAACTTCGTTCCAAAAAACTTTGCAGCCACTTTGAGATCAATATCTGTAGGCGGGTGAACAAAATCATAAGTGTATCCATTTCAAATTGCGGGAATGACACCTACCAAAGGTGCTCAGTCCGGTAACCACTGTTACAGACTTCTTCTTGCCGCGGGCAGCACGTGATACACATATGCGTTTGGGGACATCCTCCTTCTTTTTGACACGCAGCAGCCCCTTGCCACCCCGCTTCTGACGCTTCTTGTCGTCATCTGTGCCATCTGCCGCAGCCTGCTCTTCCTCTATTTTAAGACGCTCGAAATCATCGGGCAGATTGCGTTCCAGCCAGTCCTTGCATTTATCGTACTCCGGATAGTATTCACAGTACTGAAAACCATTTGTTAAACGACAAATGCACCTTCGACAATATGCGAAATTCTTTTACCTCTATTGGCATGGTGCAGTGTCCGCAATATTTCATGACTATAGGATAAGTGACATTTTCACGCGGACCCACCTTGAGCCGTTCAGCAACATTTGTGCTTTCGTTCGTCATTTCTTCAAATTGATTAACTATTAAAAAGTGCAAAATATGCTGAGGGAAATAATTTTGCACAGAAAAGACGAAAGCACGGATATCGAGCAATCAATGTTCGATACCACCAGCCGGCAATCGGATCTTGCGCTTTACAACACTACTCAGTTGAAGCAAGGCGTTGCCGGACTGCTAACTCTACTTTGTTTCTAGTAATATAATTGATAGAACAAAAATGGGTAAATGTTACGAAAAATTATTTGATTTTGCTTGCCAATTTTCCGAGAGGGTGCAAGTGGATTTTCTATTAAAAAGTGACTACACTAAAAGCATATTTTCGGTAAAGTTGGCGCCTTAGTCCTTAACCCTTAGCCTTAGCCACCTTATTGTTTCTTATTGGCACCCACGGCTCGCGGCCGTTATGGTTGGATAATTGAGTTTAAAGTTAATCTACGAAATTTCCGTGAATTGTGCATTCGGTATCTTGATTGCGATTAGCAAAAGTCATCTAATGAAACAATTAACCTTCAAGAAAGAGTAGTTCAACGTTAAAAGATCAACTTGATCGAACTGGTTCATAACTGAGTTTCTGAATGATCGTGAAATATTTTGTGGGAGTGAAACGAAAAATAATTGCGTCACAGTTCCACGGTGCTTCAGCTAAGAAGGAATATAGTTGTGTAGGAACTTGATGGCCTAAGTGAATTCAGATTGTTGCCTGCAGGCGCAATGTCAACATGAGATAAGCAAAGAATACAAGAAGGCTTAATGCCTATGGGGCACACTCAGCTCGAATATAGATGCCTAAAGTTGTGACGTGGTGCGCAGAGAGAGAGAGGAAGAGAGAGAGTAAAAGTATCTGCGCATATAATTCGCAATAACCCTGGTCAACTCAATCGCGAATGGAAACATATTGCGGATTGGCCAAATATTCAACCACGATACGAAGCTTATTCCAAGTCTATAAAATGCGGTGATTGCGGCAAGTGCAACTGATAAGTATGCACTCCCACTCAAAGGAAGGCGGCCCCGGAATAACCGGCGGCAGCACAGAAGGCAAAATACGCTGCATTTTTCTTAGCGAATTCCACGCCACTGCGGGCTGCAAAATCAGCTGTCAGGTATGCTGGGCGTGGGTCTATCTAGGCGGTCAACCAATAAGCAACACTTGCGTTTTTAGGTGCCTGAAAATTATATCTCGAAAGAGGTCTTCGATGCCATCAACGTGTACATTATACCCAAGCAGCACTTGCAGCGCTGCATTCTAACGGTGAATGCGATGGACGTAAAAATCGTTGGTTACCCAGTTGGCATACAGGACCAGCAGAAATATGCTCGCAATGCATTTCTCTTTAATCTGTGCTTTGTGTGTGATTCCCGTGCCCGCTCCGTGCAATATGAGCCGGTGGTGAAGAAGCTGTCCGAATATTTGATTATGATGGAGGAGGAATCATGTTTTTTGTCGCGCGAGGACGACAAGCTGCGGCTACAAAATATCTTTGAGACAGTGCTCCGGGATCTTAATGAGCGCAAAGTGGCCACCATTGTTGAAGGCGACAACACAATCTATTTGAAAATTGTCATGCATAAGCCGGATCCGCCACCAGTCAAGGACCATATGGTGCCCCTGTTATTGGCCAATTTGCGTGATACACCGCTCGAAAACTGGGATCTAACAACTCAACAGGTACAGCAAGTTTATCTTTAAAATGCCATCAAATGAACTGTGTGCGTTTCTCTGTCTCTCAGATATTGCCCTATATCAATGGCATTAATCATGTGGCTCGCATAGCCGCCGAGGCGGATGTGGAAACTGATTTAGTAAAGTCCTGCATACAGAATTTGGTCTACTACGGCGTTGTGCAGCTGCTGCCCATTTTGAAGTACAGCAATGTCTATATGACCCAGAACCTAAAGCACCTCATACAGAGCACAGCGTTGAGCAATGCCTGTCGCAAGTACGTGGCTCTGCAGCCAGATAAAATGCTGCCCAGCGTGCAGAGAATGTTTCAGTTTTATGCGTCCATGACGCATGGCGTCACGCTCCGTGCCATTTGTCAGCGCCTGTGCCCGCAACATCACAACATCGATGAGCGTAAAATGGTCATATTCGGGCTGCAGCACAAGTTTATACGCTGCATACAGAAATATCCGGTATTTACCGGATCAGTGCCATCTGGTCGCCAGAAGATGTATACGGGGCTGATTAGTTTTGATGAGATTTGCTGCAAGACTGGACTCTCTCCGTGCACCATCGAGAAGGATATTGAAAAGGATACGAATGTGACTGTGATTTGGAAGTAGTTTATTGCGTCGTCTCTATATGTTTAAATTGTAAAGTGTCAAAAGCGTTTTTATGTGTAATTTGTAATTATTATGTTTCCATTCTTTATAAAATGTTTGTTAAATATTGAAAAAAAAAGCTATCTGCATAGTGCTGAATACTAAATAAATAAGCAGAATTGTTAAATAAATTGTATATTAGAGTTTTTAAAAAATATCACAATCAAAGAAAGTTGTTGTTTTCATTTCGATTTAAGATCCCGTTTGAAACTGGCGCTAGATTCAAATCAATCCCAATCGACATGCTATATATGTATATGATATTATACAAAAACTGTTCCAAAGATCTGATGATGATATGTCAGAAATAAATATACAAGAGAGAATTATATGAAACTTAAGATTTCAGTATTAACCTAGATATGACAATATTGTAAAAACTGATAGAAATTGTATCGCTGGGATATTCTTACACACAAATTACAGTATTTATTTTTAACGACGTATAGTATTTAGCTTAAGGGCTTGTGCCTTGCGCTCAATTCGATGTGAACAGCATACTGTCCATTAAACTCGATCAACAGCAGTCGCTTAATCAGCTGTTTAGCTTGGCTCTGTGACGTCAGCGCCGCTGAGAGCTGCCTTAAATAAGAACACAAACTGTGCATGTACACACACACATAGACAAATACATATGAGTGCGAATGCGAAAGAAAGAACAACAACAGAAACCGGCAATAACCAGAGAAATGTTAAAATAGCCACGATCTCTGGCACTGGCCACGTTTTGAAATGTTTTGGCGTTATTAAACAATTTTTTTTGCTGGCATTGGGGCAAACCTAATAATTATACAGACACGCATACACATCAACGCCCGTCTGTAAGTAGTATCAACATACATATGTATGTGTGCGTGTGCACATATGTATAAGATTGTGTACATAAGTGAGACACTTACTCGCCGCTTTGGCAAAATTTTGGCATTGTTATTCGCATTTGCAGCGGCAGGCAGCGACGACGACTCATAAATAATGTCTGAAGATGCTAAGAGTGAGTAGTGCGCCGTGATATACATATGTATGTACATACATACATGCAGGTGTATGCCTATGGAAATCCATGCAAATATACGTGTCTCGGCAAGAAATACATATATACAAATACTAAACCCCCTATATTCTAGGTCCACGCACCAGAAACATTATTGAAAATCAACTTTTCCGGCGTCAGCGTAGTTTAAAGCTTGAGGCGCTGCAAAGACAACGCTCGCAATATGGCACCATCGACGATGTCGACGACGAGGAAGCGGAGACGTTTGGCAAGGTCAGTTTGTGCGCCCCCAGCAAGGGCAATAATAAATACCTTACAATACAATAAAAGTATGTATGTATATCTATATATGCATTGCATATTTGTTGCAGACATATATAGTTATTATATTCACGGAAAAGGCCAAGCTGCGCCACTGTCAGGATGTGGAGAAGATCATTCAGGAGTTTGACATACAAACTACACTGGAAATTGTTAGGTAAGCTGTTCGATATGCTCGCACCCATAAAGATTCTCCATATCATTCCTATTATGTTTTAGCAAAACCGAAAAGTATTTGTATCTGTCTGCCAGTCTGGATACGCTGCTGCGTCTGGCCGATGCGGCGGAACTAGAGAAAATGACAACCACGGGCAGCATGCAAAAGTTTAACCATGGCTGCGTCTCGGACTTTCTGTTGCCGGGCATGACCAAGGAGCAGATACTGCACTATTGCGAGACGCCCGTGCTGATTAAAGATGTTGTGGAGCCGCCCATAAGATCCTACATACAGAAAGGTTACATCGAGGACATGTTTCCATTGCATGATATTGTATGTACTAGTCAAGGGTGTTTAAAAAACTCCCAAAACAAACATCACACATAACGCATCAAATATCTATCAACTGTGATTTACTATAAAGTTAGAAAAGCTGTGATTAAGTTGATTGATCCATGAATAAGCAAATCAATTATAAAAACTGTATTTGCAGCTATATTTGGATCGATTCAAGCTGAATCTCAAGCGCACCACGTTGCCCATAGAGGATATACGCAACTACTTTGGCTCCAGTATTGGACTTTACTTTGGCTTCATTGAGTTCTACACGAAGGCGCTGGTGTTTCCTGCTCTTTTTGGCATACTCCAATGCATAATGGAACTCAATCTGTCGCTGGTGTGTAGCTTCTACGTTGTGTGGACAACAGTAAGTGATGAGCCGAGTGCCTGTACGTAGTTTGGTGCTTGGATTTGACTCCTTTTTATTTCTAGATATTTTTGGAACTGTGGAAACGTAGATGTGCTGGTTATTCCTATCGCTGGGGCACCATTGAGATGAGCAGCCTGGACAAACCGCGCGCCGCTTACCAGGGTCAACTGAAGCCGGATCCCATAACTGGCAAGATGACACTGCATTATCCCATGCGCTTCACGTACCTGCAAATGTATTGCATTTCGTATCCGGTGGTGCTGGGCTGTGTGGTGGCTGCCGGCTGGTTTGCGCTCTACCAGTTCCAGATCGAGGCCGAGGTGCTGGCCGATTTCGGTGCAGACTCGTGGCTGCTTTATATCCCTGTCATCGTGCAGTCCGTGCTAATTGCGATCTTTTCGTGGGCATACGAGAAGCTCGCCACATTCCTAACCAATTTGGAGAATCACCGTACACGTTCGCAGTACGAGCGGCATCGGGTCAACAAGCTGATGCTATTCGAGATTGTTAACAATTTCTTTTCACAGTTTTATATTGCGTTCGTGCTGCAGGATCTCAGGCAACTCAAGTACCAGCTGATGATGCAGCTGCTCATCTTCCAGCTGCTGTGCATAGCACAGGAAATTGGCATACCGCTGATGGCCGTGCTGCGCCAGAAATACGCCAAGTATCGCCACAAGGAGGTGGAGCCGGAGAAATTAAGCGCTATCAGCAATAAGCCACGCTACGAGCAAGCATTTTATGAGTCCGGCCTGGATGCCTATCATTCCACCTACGAGGACTATCTGCAGGTTTGCATACAGTTTGGCTATGTCGTGCTCTTTGCCGCCGTTGCGCCCTTCGCCGCTATCGGCGCCCTCATCAACAACGTATTTGCCGTGCACATTGACATGTTTAAGCTGTGCAACATCTTCAAGCGCCCATTCGCCCGTCGTGCCAAGAATATTGGTGCCTGGCAACTGGCCTTCGAGCTGCTATCCGTCATGTCGCTGCTGAGCAACTGCGGCCTGCTCTTCCTCCAGCCGAATGTCAAGTGAGTAGCAACCTTTTGTAATTGTTGTTGAACATCCATTGTAACAGATGCTTCGCACTTAACAGACAATTCTTTTCGCACTGGGTGCCCTCCATACCGGATCTCTCGTTCGTCATCTTTGAGCATCTCCTGCTGGGCCTCAAATTCATCATACACAAGGTGATTCACGAGCGTCCGCGCTGGGTGCGCATTGGATTGCTTAAGGCCGACTTCGAGACCAGCCAGGCGCTGAAACAGCTTAAGTATATTGCTTCGCTCCAGTTGGTCAACTGTTTTCATAAATTATTTTTATTCAATAGAAAATTCAAAGCGGCTAACAAAATGGCTTAAAGGCGGCTGCCTTTCACAATCAGCAGCAGGCTGTTGCACATGGTGCTATCGGGCTAAAGCCCAACAGAATGCAAACCAAGCCCAAGATAATCGAACCAGTCCATTTACATCATATTTTACATATACTTATATGCTTTTATTGTAAATCTCTCAACTAATGGTGCCTTTAAATATGTACTTGTACTTATATTTATTTATAACACATTTACCGTACCTAACTGCATAAATGCATCTAAACAATGACTGTGGACTACAATTTTTTGGCATATGGGCGAGATCAAATGAGAAAATAAGGCTTACCATGGAGCATATTCCACATATAGTACATGAAATCCGATTATCAAAAATTCAACGCCAGATTGAGATTGGCGTGGTTAATATTAAAAATATGAACTGTTTAATGGGCAGGAGAGAGAGAGAGAGAGAGCGAGAGAGAAGTAAAATATTAAAATAAATAAGTGAACCGAAGCCACGTAACAATCTTAAAAGGATATACAAGTTCAGGAATTAAAAATATAAGAACCTTGTATGCAAGTTGTAAATTTATTATTATTAAGGTATAAATAGTATCTAAGCTTCAAAGTAAAGTAAGATTTTTCAGTTGCTCTTCAACGTTTCTAACAATGCATGTCGGAATGCAGGATATAGGATATAGATATATGTTAGGATTGTTTGTGTAATGATTGCTTTTGAAATCGATTACCGATTCACCTGGCTCCCAACTATTGGAAATATCTAAACTTATTTGATAGATAGTAGTTATCTATCTCTATATATAAAACTGTTTGTCCTGACTGACTGACTGAGCGTAAGAGAAAGGAAGTTGAAGTTTTCACTGTAGTTACCTTATGTGAGAAAGGTAGACGTTAAGACGGGGTTTCGGCTAATTCCACCCGTATGTGTGGAAAAATCGCGAAACACGTTTATATGAAAGTTTTTTGTTTACCATCCGATCGGCCTCATATTCATTTTCAAAGATATTTGTTCAAATTCATTTGAGGGGTTTTTCGCACTTTTCGAAAAATTCATTCCTCCTTGGTGGAAATGGGGGTCAAAAATTTGTAGGGTGCCGTTACGCGCTCAAATTCATTTCCAAGGATCTATGTGAAATATCATTTGACACGTGTTTCACACTTTTCGCAGAATCCAAACTTCATCGGTGGAAAATGCGATTTAAAGATTTTTTGGCCGAAGTTTTAAGTTTTGTCCGATTTCCATCAAACTTATTTCCAATGCAAAATAACTTAATGAATAATACGTGCCACGGGCAAGGCCGGGATTACCCGCGATATATTATTTCACTTATATGACTATGAGAATGGTATGAGAATACATGTTGTTAATTTTCAGGGAGTTTTAACTTATGCTAGCATATTAAGACTAAGAGCTTAATTTAATATTAGTAACATACCGTAATTAGTTGCTAACGAACCCCTCGAAAATGCCTGAAGGCGAGAAATGCGTCGATAGCATGTAAAAGAGCCGCCGCAAAGCCTATGTACTGTAAAGTATTGATACAAAAAAATAGAGAGACAATATATTGTTATGGAACTAGCTGATGGGTAAACAGTTGCTTACGTAGGCGGCGGTCATGGCTGGATACGCCCAGAAGCCGGGACGCACCAGAAACTGAGGATGCAGCCAGACGACGCAGGCGAAGCTCATGTAGCTGGCTGAGCTGAAGTACATGCAGCTGGCGATGGCATTGAAGAGCGTCTCCTGCAAAATGGCTGAGATTGTATATGACCCTATGACCTGGGCGTTAGGTATACTTACAAAGAGCGACTGTCGAATCAGGCCATAGGATCTATCCGAGAAACAGTAGCATATGAGCAAGATGCCCGTCGTGGTGAAGCAATGGCCAGTTGTGGCCAATAGACTGGTCAGCGCCTGGCCAATGGAGTCCGCATAGGGTACACCATAGCGTATTAGCAGGCCCTCACACAACATGGCCAGGCCCAGCTCCATCAGCTTCAGGAGTCCGCCCCGCGACAGCACAAAGCCAAAGTTGATGCAAGTCAATATCCGGCAGCAACAGATCTTAATACCCGGCGGCTGGCTCATGCTGCGTGCACCAAAGGAAGCCATGGCTGCTATCCGCTGTCTCGTAACAAACTAACACACGCACTTTTCCTGTTGCCAGCGGACAATAGCAGATGCAGCGCGTCTATAAATAGAGCTACATACTTGCCCCCAAGCGACGTCTGCAGCAACAGATGCTGGGCGCACCGTGGTTCAACACGCTTAACGAGCTAAATTTCAAATTATTTTTCACTACTCTCCGGAGTTTTCTTATGTATTACTTTCTGGGTGCAAGCGTATTTAATATATTAACTAAATAAATATTATTACGAAAATTATTGGGCTGGATTTATGGAAGATTTTATTTATTTGTATTACAAGGCTGCAAAATTATCTGTCAACTTAACCGGTTCGAACCCAAAATTTAATTATAATTAATTTAATTATAACCGAGTCCAAAAAACAACGGAACCGATACCGATTCAATTATGATTCAAAAATAGTTTGGTTGAAAATAAAAGCATTTAAAAAAACATTTAAAATAAATCCAGATTAAAAATATAGGTATAAATTTCTTTGGTTCCAACTATTGGCCATATCTAAAAATTCAAATTTAGCCCGCAATTTCTATTTGAAAATATTTACGGCTTGCAATATTTTCATTAGAGCGGACAATTATATAAAAAAAATGAAATTCTTTTATTAACTTGCTAAAAATATATGACAAGCCAAGGTTTGAACCAGAACCTGGTTTCAACCTGCACCAACCAAAGTTAATTTGAACCGTGAATCGACAATTATTTGTATGTGTCTTCAGCCCTGCTTTAAAGAATGCCTGTCTTAATTTAAAAATAACGAGAAAGTAGGGCTATCTTCGGCACGCCGAATATTTAATACCCTTGCAGCACCAACCTTTTCTTTATGATATAGTGGTCCGATGTTAATAAGATTTTGCAAATTGTGGGGAACATAGTAAAACTAATAAATGCCGAGTTTGGTCAAGATATCTTGAAAAACAAAAAAGTTTTCCATACAACAACTTATTTATCGACCGAATATATAAATATATATAGAGATAAATATGCAACAGAAAGAGTGACTTCTGCAAAGTTTCACGACGAAAGCTTTAAAACTGAGAGACCCGTTTGCATAGACGGACTCGGCTAGTAATATTGATCAAGAATATATATACTTTATGGGATCGGAGATGTCTCCTTCTATGGGTTACACATTTCACGACAAAATGATAGGGTATAAAAACGATTGATATGATTAGAGTTTACTTTCAATGTCATTCAATACAAGTTCGCAGTCTTGTGGCTTTTTGAATTGTGCCAGTGTGTGTGTGTGTTTTGAACCACTGTGCCTTGGGTCGCTTCGCATTGTTTAAAGGCCTGCGTCTCTGTCTGTCTGTCTGTCTGTCTGTCTGTCTGTCTGTCCGTCTGTCTGTCTGTCTGTCTGCCTGTTTGTTTGTTTGTGTTTGTGGCTGACTGTCGCAGCAAGCAGTGCGTCGGCGCTCAGGCAGCTTGCGTTGCCAGGAAACTCAGATGAAATTTGATAATAGACGAAGGCAGTAGCTTAAAATTAACATTAACACATTTAGACCTTTGCCAAGTTCAAAATTTCTGTTACGCAAACGAATATCATTCTGCGCCATGTGCATGCCGTACCTGGGTAAACTGTTCTCCAGCGGGCAACGCCGGCGGAATAGTGCAACTGGGACGCCACGGCCCAGCCTTGCACCGACACCGCAGCAATCGAGCGCGACAATCCAGACGAGCAATGTGAACAGCGTGAGGGCGTCCAAGAAGGAATCCACCGTGCCTGTCAAGGCCAGCAATAATGCTGCGGCCGCAGCAGGTCTGAAGGAGACACCTGCTACCACGGCTGCCCAGGCGGCCGGCACTGCAGTGGCTCAGGCGCCGGCTGCAGCGGCTTCAGGCTCCGCCAGGCCGACAACATGGTGGGAATACCTTGGCATGAATAAGAACAAGAAGGGCAGCATCGATTCGCTGTAGTTGGCACAAGCTGAGCAGATTACTAAACTGAGTCCAACGCTCAGATTTCGAGCATATCGAATTTACATACTGACATTATTTGGACCCCAACAGCGATGATAGCGGAAACCGTTTGCTAAAATTGATACAGATTATTTTGAAATAAAAAACAAACCCCAAACCCCACTCAACAAATCTTCGCGAATTGTACAAAGTAGAACGGGTGAAGTGGTGGGTATTGTTTAAATTCTTCTTTAGGCTAAAGCGAGTTGCCTCCCCTTTGGCTGGGGTCAAATATCAATTGTGTGTGTGTGTGTGTGTGTGTGTGTGTGTGTGTGTGTGTGTGTGTGTGTGGGTGGGGGTGGGGGTATAGAGTCTTTCCACTTCTTCGCTGAATCGTTGAGGTACAGTGTGCAGAAGATAGCATACTTTTTGGAGTATATGCAAATATCTTTTTGGACAAAAAACGAAGTTTACAAAAGTGTTTCTGCGCTTACTAAATATTCAGAGCATTTAACATTTTCTATATTTTCAAAAATGAAACTTCAAAATATCTTGCTACATTTTTGTTATCGATAATTGCATTCGCTGACATCGTGTGCGATAACTTTTCACAGACACGGTATATTTGACGCTTTTGCCGTGTTGTACGAGTGTAGTTTGGAAAATTACAGACGAGGCCGAATAACAACTTGTCAACTTCTGCAGTCACAAACAAATAAATTTAAATGTATTATATGTATACTAAGTATGCAATTTACTTTCTGTGCATGTGTATGTATGTACATATACATGCATAAAAGCGGTCGAATTTCAATAACGGCACTTAAGCTTCGTTTTCCTTTCCTGTTTAGCGAGCTTTCAAGTCGTGCTTAGCGCGAGGGAGAAAGGTAGAGACGGAGTCGATAACGAAGACTAAGCAAAACACGCAAACAATGCAACAAAAAAAAAAAAATACGTCGATGTCGCCGTTAGCGTCGCAGCACAGCGCAGCGATTAGTGTAATTTATCAGCCGCAACGGCAATTTGTATTTAGTGGGAGTGGGCAACAGGCTGCGCGACTGAATGACTGAACGGGATTGGGGCAGGGAGCAGGGGGGACGGGGGCGGCGCAAGCTTTTTGACAGTGAAATTAAATAAGCTGTTATCAAAATCAATTATTATTGTCGCTGATGCTACTGCTGCTGCTGCTGCTGCTGCGCCGGCTACACAATAGCCGGCCGTTGACGTCAACGTCAACTCAATGTGGCTAAGCGCAGCGGCAGTGACGCTTCAGAATGTTGGAACAATTGAAACCGTTGCATTTCCATATGTGCATACACACAGTAACATATATACATACGTAGGTATGTATACAGTTTTGTTGACTCCCATAGTTATCTATTGCTGGCAATTGGCAAATTGCCAATTCTGTCACGATTTTCGCACGTGCAACTGCGACGCATGCGCAGCTGCTAGGCTTACAGCAATGCGGAAGTAAGGCACATCGATTATCGATTAATCGGCACTTCAATTATAACTGCCATCCTGGCCAGCAATCGTTAATATCGATAACTCTAAGGCGACAGCCTTTTTGGCAGCAACAAACTGTGCACTCAACTGTAAAATCAAAATAATTATTCTTACAATTAAAACAACAAATTAACTGAACAACTTTGTAGCTAAGCGTGCCGTGCTGCAGATGAACAACAATTAGATAGCAAACAATTTACGACATATTTGTCGCCATTGAATTCAGTTATTTATGTTACAGGGAAAAGTGAGTACAAGTAAATATAAATAAATAAAATAAAAATAAAAATAAATAATAATAATAAAATAAACAGTCAATTAGCGCAGTTTCGAAGCAAAAAGCCATGAAAATTATCTTTAAAGGTTTAAAAATGAAACAAATGTTAAAAAAAAAAATTCGAAATATTTAGCACTTCTTATTTGTTGTTGAATTATTTGCGTTTCTCTTCGAACGTCACCAAACAAACAACAAGAGACGTTTCATATACTTAAGTACAAATCTATACTATGCACAAAATATACGATATACTCGTACATTTATTTCGAGACACAACAGAAAAGCTAAATAAAAACAACAAACAAATACAAATTCGTCTGTCCGAAATTTGTGTGATTTGTTTTTATTTTTATTTTTATTTTTAAATTTATTTTTTTTTGCGTTTGTTTTTTTCGGCCTGCTCATTGGGGCCGATGCCTTCGAGACCGAGAGGCTGTTTTCAGTGTTCGACTGCCGACAATACTGATGTGTTTTACATTTCGTCTTCAAAAATTTATTGAACATATTTTCTGAATTGCTGTGTCATTATTTAAAAAAAAAAACCCAATAACAACACTTTGCACACACACACACACACAGACGTCGACACACTGTGCCGTGTACATATCAATTAAAATTACAAGTGCGACTCGCTAACAGTGTGACAAATTTGTTGTTGTTGGCTATTTTGGGCCAACGAAAGCAAAAGCAACTGCAATCAGTGCAAACGCAATTGAAAACAACTTTTCAAAAATATACACATTCCCCAGTGCCGAAACACAAATGATAACTGAACCAGAATGTTCCTAAAAGGGTTTGTATAATATTAAATAAATAAAAATAAAAATTCACGACAATCAATCAAAATATATATATATATATATATATATATGTGTGTGTGCTTGTGCATATATGGCTTTCCATATGGCAGAAATGCTTTTAGAAATTTTCAATCCATGGAAAAACAGATCTTTGTGCCGGGTATTACGCATTTGCGCGAACAGTGGATGTGTTTTTCAGTATGCATATAGGGTATAAACGAATTTTGCTTTGGCAACAGACGTCATAGTATACCTATACCTATACAAAACAACAATACATGCACACATTCACATATGAGGTTTATTCGATTGCCAGCTTCATTCCTAACAAATATGTATTTGCAAGCAGAGATAAGAGCTTATTCGATTGCGACCGTAACTTAATGAGAATCGCAGAGTAGGGCGATATTTAAAAATGCGCCTTTATACAAAATTGAAGCACAGAAGGGAAAACACGAAAAAACAATTGTCCATGTGTACATATATTTATATATTTAACACAACAAAATAAACAACACGAGCATTTGATTAGCCCGGCGGCAAAATATAAATTTATAAATTTATAAGTGCACAATTATATGCACGTGTAACTTTGCAAACATGGGCAAACAAAATAAATTTAATTTAACTATAATTATTAACTATAACTAAATAAAAATTAGCCAAAATATTCGCAGATATAGGGCGAAAACAGTAGCTGCTAAGATACCAATACTTAAATCGAGTTTCAAAGATTAAAAAAAAAAGCAGTTAATTACTTTTAAAAAAAAAACTATAAAAAAAAGTTCAAATCCATCATCACACTTACTGAGACAAACAACAAAGTGTTAAGCTTATCATCAGTCGTAATATGACATGTGGATAAATTAGAGATTATTTATCTTCCCGAATAGATTCACTTTCAGTCGTGAATTTCTAATGTGGAGTTATGCAATCTAGCATTCTAAATAAACAAACAGCTATCAGAAAGCACGATGAGTGCCATTTTAATTGACATTTGCGTTTACTTTGAAATGCAAACCCGATTCCATAAAGAAAACCTATGTCGCACTTCCATTGTTTAAGCGAATAGAACCGTAAACATTTGTTGTTTATCTATAAGTGCCCTTTATAAAGGGACAGAACGAGGTACACATATATTCACACTTGAAAAACAAAAACAAACCCAACAATAGCAACTACCTTAAATAAACAATACATTAGCTTTTAGAAGTTGGTTCAACTTGGGGAGCAAAAAGGCTTTTAACTTTGTGAAAATAAAATCTACAGATTATTGCAACTGGACTGTCTTCGCGCCATTTAATTGTATACAGAAGCTTAGCCATATACCAAGGCGTAATTAGCGCTAATTGTTGTCTATCTTGGAACCTTAAAGTATAGGTAGAATTTAAAGTTATCTATAGGAAGACAACAAAAACTTTAACAATACAAAACGGCTGTTGATACGGATCGTGCATATGTACGTATACACTATATGGGCTGGGAGATGCCTTCCTCTATACATTTCACAGTTAGTTATAATACACGGGTATACAAACTTCATAAATATATGTAGGTCCTATGGAGTCGCCCGGATCGGACTCCTTTATCATATAGCTACCATAGGAACGATCTGTCGCGTGATTTCGTATGAAAACGTTTACTGTCTCTTCATCATTGTCCAAACATATCCTCAAAAGCGATTCAAGTCGATTAACGATCTTTTGGTGAATTAACAGGCGTTGCCACCTAACTGAATTTTTAAAGGGTTTCTGACGTCACTTTTACTACTGCAAGCCGAACATTTGCGTTCTTGGCAGCAAAACAGTTGAGGACTCAGCCGGCCTTCGTAAGATTAGGTAACCCAGCTTCAACAGTTGGCAGGTGATTCAGCCGAATGGCAATTAGTGGGGGGAAATTAGCAAAGAACCCGAAGCTTGTGATTGAACATCCCATGACACAGACGCTAAGGCGGAGATGGACACGGAAATGGGTTTGGAGATGGGCATGTCGGAATCTCCGAATCAATGTTAACAGACAGACAGCCAGTCATGTATTGGCAATTCTTTTACAATGTTGGCCTTATCAGTTGACTGGAAATCGAAAACTCTTGTTACAATCAACGTCATCGCGTAAACCGGGACGTATGAGTAATGCGCCTTCGTACGTACGTATGTATGCATGTATGTATGTAGGTATGTAGGTATGTAGGTGTGAATAAATGTTGAAGATCTATTGTGATGAGCGCTTGGCTGCATTATAAAGGCTGTGCGCCAGACTCGCGGCTTGACATTGAGTTTTCGCATCGCTTTCCTACTCGTGCGCCAGCTCCAATTTCATTGCGTTCGTTACAGTTTAATTCGATTTAAGCTCATTAAAACAAAATCGCTGAAAAGTCAAGTTTGAGAGTCCGTACCAAAAAAAAAAACAAAAAAGCCGACTTACAGTCGGAGCTGCTTAACTGCCTCCGGTTCCAATTCCGAATACAATTTCAAGTCCGATTCCGTTGAACGAGCCGCGAGCTGTTGTTGGCTGCAACGTCGACGCCGCTGTCGCTGTCGCCGCTGCCGCCGCCGCCGCCGCTCGCTTTTGGCGCAATCGAAAGTTACGTTTTGGCTTTACGTAGCCCGCATTAGTCGTACGCTGAGCGTTGTCGACGTCAGTTCACGGTTTCGATTTCGAAAGATCCCAAAAAAACAAGATCAAACCTTTTCGGAAACCGAACAATTTGTGCCTGTGAGTACCGACCTAATAAAGGACTTGAGTGCTGTCCGTTATTTTTTGTTCCAATCTTGCAGAATTTTGCTATCTTTTTTTTCAATTATTTTTTTATAGTTTGTTTTTTTTTTTTTGAGTGTGCTTATTTGGTCAAGTGTGTTGGGGCAACACTTTGCTCTCAATTACCTGGCACTTCTGGCCAGTTAGCTATGTGAAAGTAGTTCAGCAGCTGGAAGTTTCAAGATTTCAAGAATTTTGCAAGTCAGTTTAATGACATTCAATTTCGAGGAGTTCCGGAAGAAATAAATCAAATTCTGATTATGGCACTCACTATCACAAAGTGATTGCATATTTTAAATTGTGAATAAATTGAATTTGATAATTTCACAAGAAGATAATTAGTATTAGTAATTGCACCAGGCATAACGCGTAGGATACGTGTCTGTTATATGATGATTCGGCTTGGCTGTCACATCTTTTATTGGATTAGCCGTAATTTGTCGGGCTTGCCATTGTGCAATTGGCAATTTAGTAATTTTAGCATATTTATATGGCATTTGTTCTTAGTAATATATATGTACATATGTATGTATGTATGTATGTGTCGGACATGTGACTAGATATAGCTGACAATGCTTCCACATCACTTCCATTTCCATTTCCACTCCCAATCCCGTTCTGTTATTTATAACTATTAAATTGTGCAATTAACTTGCAAATCGCCGCTAGCACAACTGATTAAATAAATTAAAATTTAACTATAAATGCAAAAAAAAAAAGAAGCAAATAATTATAATAATATTAATAATAATAATAATCTCAAACTCGTGCTCGCATTTCTCCAACAATTTCGCCCGATGGCAACGACATGCAACCATGTGCTCCCGTTCGTAATCCAACCCCCCCCCCCCCCTCCACCACGCCCACTCGCATTTTCATTCACAGTCGGATCTGCGATTAGCTTGGACATACGCTAGGCACATGCACATGCACATGCCTGTAATTCCCTTATATCACAATATACCCAATGGGCAATATGTCGGTACATGCATATGTAGTTTTAAAGATTTCGATAGTTATTTTATTGGAATGCAAATCAAGCACATGCCATAAAACACAACACAGATCAACACGGGCGGAGAGTTAACATTCTGCTCATGATCTTGAGAAGTTCCTCTTTTCGTTCCGCATCAACTTTTGCCCATTTGTCTATTCTACAAGCATAGATACATATATGCTATATATGCATGTGTGTGTGTATGTGGTCTGCGTCCATTGACACTTTGCTGCTTACACATACATACATATTTGAGTCGAATTTCGCTTTTCCCGAACTCTTCTTCCTCTTTTCTTCGAGTCGGGCACGTGGCTCGCCTCGGCAGCCATAAAAGATATATCAAACTGGTTGGGCCAATAATTGCCAAATCAGTCCAGTCACGTGATATATACATATATATATATATATATATATGTATATGTATTGTATTGGGATTAACATAAGTCGCCTATTTCTATGCAAATTTTTCAATTATTGCGATTGAGTAATCTGTATTTAAATATGCTCACGAGATCATTTTAATTAACTAACAATTGAGTTTCGCTATAAATCAATTGTTATTCTAATTATTGGTATGGCAAAAGCTCTGCACGCATTTCAATTTAAATGCGGAACACACGTCGTTTAACTTTTGGCAAGCACTGTGAGAACAATATGTTTCCATTAGGCGCATTTGCAATAACACATTTCCATTAGTCGACATTTAATAGGTTTCGTTTTTTGTTGGCTGGCAGCCACAGATAAATCTCTTTCGCTGTAGCATAGTGTTGGATGTCTTTGTTGTAGCCAGACAAAAGCGAGACGACACTTTCTCGATTTGATTTTATTTATTTGCTGTGAGCGATTAAGAACAAGCACTCAACAATTAAATCAAATTAATTAATGTCGACTAAATCAGTGACAGCGACAGCAATAAAAAACAACTTGAAAAACGAAACCGAAACCGAAACTTGTCCACGTTGTTGTTGTTGTTGTTGTTGTTGTTATATAGTGATAATGCCAGATTAACGCACCGGGCTAATCAATTAATTAGCACAAGACGAAGCTGGCCCACAATTAGAGAGGGAGGGCGTGGAGGCGTAGAGAGACTGGCCAACAACAATCGGATGAAGTCGAGCGTGGCCGTGGCCAGCGGTTGCTGCAACTGGGTTAAGACTCAATCGACTAGAGAGAAAAACTGTTATTATTATGGTTATTATTATTATTATTGTTGTTGTTGTTGTTGTTGTTGTTGTTTTGTATAGTTTTTGTGGATATGCTGTGCGTTTGTCTGCCTGCTGCAGCCAGCTAGTAATATTTGGACAGGTGTTTTATGGCCTTTTATTAGTTTTGACTTGTTTTCGCTTTTCAACAGATCGCATCAGCTGAACTTTCAAATGGAGGCGGATAGCTATGTCCAGGCTTCGGCGTTACCCAACAGCAAGCGCTTTGTTGTCGAAGATTCAAGTAAGTGTCAAGTCTGCTTCCGGCTTAGAAAGTCAACGGGCAATACGGCCAGTGCGGAAGTGCGTTGGGCGTGTGGGCGTTGCGCCGCCCACCGTCATTGCCAATTGCGTAAAGGTAAACAGACGTGTGCATTAGCTCAAATGCCGGCATTCAGCCAATCACCGATTATCAACAAGTTGAAGTTCAAACAACGATTTGACCCTGAGACACAGACTCTGAGTCGAATGCATTACGAATCGGGCCGAAGCCGAAGCCAGTCCGTAACTGGCAGACAGCAAGGCACTTGCAAAACTGGAACACTAACCTCTCACACACACACTCTCTCTCTCTCTCTTGTCCGTTCTCTATCTATCTCGCCAGTTACTAAAGTAACCTCCGATGGGGAACCGCACGGCATGATGACCATGGTGGCAGGTTTATCGGGCCTTTTAGCGGCCATCATTATACTGGCCGTGCTCGTTTCCATGGTGGCCTGTCGCAAACGTAAAACGTAAGTGTAATCCCAGCGATCGGTGTCCACTGACTGATCTGTTTTGGCTTCTAGCTGCTGCACCCAGAGGAACAACAAGCAGCTACAGGCCAAGTCGTTGGCCAGTGCCAGTGCCATGGCCGTCGCAATGACCAGCGTGGACAGGTCACAGCCACAACTGGCCGGGCATCTGAATGCCGCCTTTGCGGAGAGCACCTTGACCCTAAATGTCGATGCCAAGGATAAGCATAAGGATGAGGACACCGCAAATCAATGGCCCACAGAGATTGTTGTCGAGCGCTATTAACCAAATAGCGCTGGGAAAGCACGTGATGTTTGTGAACATAAAAGACTGACGAATAGAACTTTAAGCCAATTATACTACATATTATGGAATCCATTTTTTTTTCTTACCCATCGTTGTGTAATATATATTATTATGATTCTATGATTGTTTGTTATAATTTGAAATGATTGCGGAGCTGCCGCACTTTTGTCGAATATTGTGCGTGTTGAGCAACGCTCCAATCGATATATCGATAGCTAACTTATCGGTAACTAGCCAAGACAGCAACCCAATTAGCTGCTTCTTTGGCCCGTTATCGTTTGAATAAAATAAAATCAAATGAAACTATATTTGTGTTAAGGCAACAACTGGTTCTGCCGCTTGTATTTATGCTTATATGCTAATAAAAAGTACAAAAATAGAAAAAAATGCAGTTTTATTCAAACTGGGAAAATGTTCAGAGCGCCGTGCTGCGACAGCCAACGACCATGGCCAGCAGCGCCATGCGAATGTACATGCCGTACTCAGCCTGTCGAAAGTAGGCCGCACGAGGATCCGAGTCAAAGTCGCGGCTAATCTCCTCGACGCGCGGCAGAGGATGCAGCACAATGGTACGCTTATTTGCCCGTGTCATCATTTTGGGCGTGACAATAAAGTGGCCGCAGCACTGAAAAATAAATAAAGATGCCACAAATCATGAGTTCCAATTGCTTCAACAGCAAATCGGGAGTGTACAACTGGGAGATATCCTAAATCCAGCCAAGGAGCTTCATAAAACATTGCTACCTTCAGCACGCCGAAGAAAGAATATCCTTCCATGAATATGGCTTAGACATAAGATATAGCAGACCGACAAGATCGGATAGAGGAAACTATTGTGGGATTATATTGTGGGAAACTCGTTAGTCAAAACAAGACGCACATTACTATATCGATTCGGCTGTTGCTTCTGATTAATATTAATTAATCTGAGATCGGCGACAGACGGACAGATGGATAAACGGATCTCGACCACGCCCTCATCTCTATGGGATCGCCTTAGGTTCCTCCAACAAGTATTTGAAATATATGCTATCTATGCCACCCATTTGGAATAGGTCGAGGTTATATAAATATATGATTGATTATCACATACGCGTCGGTATTCCTCCTCGCTGTTGAAGCGCTCGCGCTGTATGCGTGTCATGTAGAGCACATCGGTGGTGGGCAACGCCTGCTCAATGCTGTCGAACGTTAGCTGCGTGACGCCGCGCTGCTGCAGATACCGCATGATGGCCTCGGGCATGCCGAGGCCCGGCGGGGCCACGTACTGCAGCGTGATATTGTAGAGGGTGAGCAGACGTGCCAGCGAATGGACGGTGCGTCCGTTCTTGAGGTCACCGACCATGGTGATTGTCAGACCGTTGACGGTGCCAATTTCCTCACGTATGGTGAAGACGTCCAGCAGCGCCTGCGTGGGATGCTCGCCGACCCCGTCGCCGGCATTGATTAGCGGCTTGCGCGAAAATGAGGCGGCGCGCTGTGAATGTAGAGGGATTCCGGATGATGAGTTGGATACATTTTGGATATGGTAATGGTAACAGTCGGTACTTACCGCGACGGCGCCCGGCTCGGGATGACGCAGCACCAGGACATCCGCATAGCTGGCCATCACCTTGATGCTGTCCTCGAGTGTCTCGCCCTTCTTCACCGACGAGGTCACCTGATCCATGTTGATGACATGTCCGCCCAGGCGCTGCATTGCCGCACTGAAGCTGCACTGGGTGCGCGTGCTCACCTCGTAAAAGATGCTGGCCATGATTTTGCCGCGCAGCAAGTCGTCGACGGGCCGGTCTTTGGTTACGCGCGATTTCAGCAGCTGCGCCAAGTTGAATATGTCGTTCAGGCGCTCCTTGTCGAATGAGTCCACGGAGAGCACATGCTTGCCGACCAAGCAGTGCGCCACCGGATTGGGCGTGGGCAGCAGCGAGTTCTTCTGCAGGTACTCCTTCAGCGTGGCGTTGCTGGACGAGTCGAGACGCAGGCGTGGCGACGGCGACACCGGACGCAAGAAGCTGCCCGCCGCCGGCGATGTACTTGCCCCGGGCTCGTCCACGAAATGCACGGTGGGGGCGCGTGAGCCCGTGGCTCCGCCAGCTCCAGTTGCAGTGCCGGTCCCGTCGGTCAATAAAAGACGCGAGAAGGTGTCGTTGACATCGGTATCGCTGGGCAGGTCGCTGCCCTCGGCCTCGGACTTCTGCGGCAGCGGCAGCTTGGAGCGCACATTCTGGCCATAGCCGGGCTGGACCAGCACCTGGCCATCAATGTAGGCGACCTCGCCGCGCAGCACGACGCGATGGACGCGACCCTTCACCTTGGTGCCGTGGAAGGGCGTCCAACCGGCTTTGGTCTTCAGCTCGTTGTTGCTGATGGTCCACTCCTCGTCCAGATCGATCTCCACGTAGGTCTGCGGCTGCTCGGGCAGATTAAAAATATTGCGCGGATTGCGATGAAACTTGCGCTTAATATCCTCCAAGGTGATGCGACCCTCGTGGACGGCATGCAGCAGCAGCGGCAATATGGTCTCCAGGCCGGGGAAGCCGGGCGGCGGCCGTTCCGATTGCTTCTCGGCAAGCGTATGCGGCGCATGATCTGTGGCAAACACATCAATGTACTCCATGTGCTCCCAGAGCGCTTCCTGATCCTCGGGCGAGCACAGCAGCGGTCGCACCTCCGCCATGCCGGCGCCCAAGCGCTCCAGATCGCGCGTACTGAGGAACAGATGATGCGGACACACCTCGCAGGTAACCTTCATGCCCTTCTCCTTGGCGGCACGTATCAGCTGAATCTCCTCCTTGCGCGCCACATGACAGATGTGGACCGGCCGCTCCAGCAGATGGGCCAGCAGCATAACGGCCGCCATGCTCTGCCGTTCCGCATGACAAACGATGGGCGCCCGCTTGGGCCAGCGGGACAGGTGACGCTGCCAGGCGGCCATGTCGCTGAGCCTCAGCGTGCCGTACGTATCGTTGAGATACATCTTCAGGCCGCACGCCTGCGTCGCCAGCTCATGGGCGTGCTCCCAGTTGGTGTCCGAGGCGCCTACATATAGCGCATAGTCGCAGCGGGCCCCGGCTCGGGCCAGCTCGCGGAACTGATTGAACGTCTCGCGATCCACAATTGCCGGATTCGTGTTGGGCATGGCACAGACCATGGTGACGCCGCCGGCTAGGGCGGCTGCGGTGCCGCTGGCGAAGTCCTCCTTGTGGGTGGCGCCCGGCTCACGCAGATGCACATGCACGTCTATGAAGCCAGGCAGCTTCACAATGCGACGCGACGTCATGCAGTCCGTGTGCGTCTTCATGCCCGGATTGCGGCCAGTCACACGCATCGATTCCACCAGCAGCTTGGTGCACTTGACGTCTGTCACCAGCGGTATGGAATAGTCGACCGCCAGGCGACGTGTCCGATAGCCATGCGTCATGAACGATGAGACCCTGGGTTCGATTCAAAGTCAATTAACATCCTTGCACACACAACAATTTAAAAACATGAAAATCGCATAGAAAGGCTTTGCTAAAGCGGGCAGAAAGCGAGTGATTGAGGCGGAAAAATTAAGAGCAAGCGAGCATGAGCGAGAAGAGGTGAGAACGAAATGAGAAATGAGAGAGAAAACAAGTGATTGAGGCGGAGAAAATGAGAGAGAAAGCGAGTGAAGTTGGAGAATTCAATAAGAGCGTAGCGAGAAGCGAAAAGATTTAAAAACACTTTTATAGAGAAGAATAACTTAAATACATACGTGTAACATTACTGTAATTCATGAAAATCGCATAGAAAGGCTTTGCTAAAGCGGGCAGAAAGCGAGTGACTGAGGCGGAGAAGTTTAGAGCAAGCGAGCATGAGCGAGAAGAGGTGAGAACGAAATGAGAAATGAGAGAGAAAACAAGTGAGTGAGGCGGAGAAGAATAAAATGAGAGAGACAGCGAATGGAGTTGAAGAATACAATAACAGCGTGGCGAGAAGAGAAAAGATTTAACAACACTTTTATAGAGAAGTATGACTTAAATACATACGTGTAACATTGCTTTAATTCATGAAAATCGCATAGCAGGGCGAAGTTTTTGAAAATAAAGAAAAAATAACAGTAAAATAAACCTAATACATATATATTACCTGAGAACCGACCCCAACTAACGACTTAGCTCGTCATGCTGATCGAGAGTATGCATACAAAATGGGTACGGAGATGACAAAAACAAGCTATACATATATACATAGATAACATCATGAGTGCTCAATGGGTTCGGAGATATACATAGATAACATCATGAGTGCTCAACGGGTTCGGAGAAATACATAGATAGCATGATGAGTACTCAATCATGAGTACTCATAAGAAGGGTTCGAAATTGAATGAGCTTGGGGGGATTCTTATTTAAGTTATGCACATTACAAATTCCTAAATGCGATCCATGTTGATCTGGCATACACTTTTCCCGGAAAGGAAGGAAAACGTGACTTACCTGCGGATGCCGCCACCACGCATGGGTAAATTGATGACCAGATCGAATTGTTTGTTGGCCAGAAACTCGGCCAAATGTCGCAGCTCTCCGTTGATATCATCGGGTGTTGTCTTATCGAATGTCCACTGTACGGACTCCACCTGCAATGGAAAGAAGAAATGGGGCATTGCTTAGCATTTTTGTCGAGGATAGCACAGCGCATGCAGGCCGCGTCCAAGGCCAAATTCAGCACCATTCATTGGCAAATGTTTGCCTAGGCCACATAAAGATACTGCTCTTTATGGACCTACATAATAATTCACTTGTGCATGGACAATAATAATAGCAATACGAATAGCATTTATAACAATAAAACATTACAAGCTACAAGTGGCACAGTGGTGCCGGCAGACAGAAAGAGAGACAAATAACGCATCGATAAATTATCGATAACATATACTGTCGATCAATTATCGATTATCAAAAATGCTCAACCTTTTGGTCCTGTTGTTATTTCGAATCAAAAAAAATAAATACCCTTGTCTTGATATAGATCGTTGTCGATATATATCGATATCGATAACAACTATCAATAACCCGTAAGAGTTGCTCAAAGCTGACTGTTCTATTTCTTAAAATTCTCTTCAGTTACATATTTTATTTTTTATAAAGCTGACGGCAAACAAGTTTGCAAATTAGATGCCGTGGGTTTTGACGTTTCCGATCTTAAATCATATTTCAATGTATTTTAATGAATGCTCTTAGATAACATATTTCTAAATTGCACTAATAACTAATAACATTCAAATGCAGTTCATTAGTCTTGGAAAAACACAAGTAACTGTGGCAGAAAAAACAAACAAAAAGAAAATCCCCCAGATTGATAGTGTTTTTTTCTGGAATATTCAAATATGAGTTGCGCTTCATTTGAAGAGAAACTTTAGCAAGTCTTTAGATCATAGGCATTATCTAACGACACTTCGATTTAGTATATCCAAGTATATCCAATGGATATAGATATATTTATTTTGCATCTCATTTTGTGTGTTTGCTCCACTGTGCGCGCAGTCATCGCCATCGTGTGACTTTTGTTGCCGTTGTCGTGTTTACATGCCAGAAAGGCTGATAACAAGGCCTCCCCCCTCTTGGCCGGCCGGAAGTGTAGGAGGAATCAGCTTGTCAACTTGTCGCCAATAGTTGCCATTGTTGGTATTGGTCTTGACGGCGATCTTATCTAGGCAACATCAAGAGCGACAGCGACAACGAGACTGGCAAGAAAATGGAATTTGATCGGCGTGATCGGTATCAGTAAGAAAGGAGCCACAGCTGCAAGCGTTGCGCTGCGTTTCTTATCCCCAAGTCGAATCCCTAGCTGGACACACACACATAGACACTCGATCCATGGGCTGTACCTGGTCCAAGGCGCCAGACGGCAATGCGTTGCCCAGTCCGCTGCAGCAGCTGCAAGCGGCGGAGGCGCCGCCGCGCGTGCAGCAGCGTCGTCGCCAGGAGGAGAAGCGCCAGCGCCAGCTGGCCAAGCTGCAGAAGCGCAACGCCCGCAAGCGGCGACACCAACGCGGCGGCAACAGCAACAGCAACAGCTTGCGGCGCAGCTTGCGTGGCCACGGCAGCGGCAGCATTCGTGGCAGCCAGAATCTGGCGCCACAACTGCGGCTGCTCGGGGGCAGCAACGGCAGCAGCGCCACCGAATGCGTCAGTGCGCTGTACGCCCGCACGCTGGAGGGGCAGCGAGAGGAGCACCAGCGCATCATCGAGGAGAAGACGCGACATCAGCTGGAGCGGCAGCTGCACACGTTCCTGCTTAACCAGCTGCTGCTGGGCATCCAGTTCTTTGGCCATTACGAGAACGAGCTGGCCGCCATCGACGACCAGCTGCAGGCCAGGCAGCGCGCCTGTGGCCAGACCCTCAACGAGCACAGTCTGATCCATGCCAGCGCCATCGATGTGGCCGTTGCCAAGCGGCTGCTCTTCAAATCCACGTAAGTCGGTACAAATTTTGGATGTTCGAAATACTAGGAGCCTACATCAATGCGAGATCTTCCCGTTGAAGTTCTTGCATCAACAACATTCGGGTTTATTCCAAAATCAAAAGAGTTAGCCGGACGTAGTTAAGGCGGAAGAGGAAGCTATCTCTTGTTGTGTATTCAAAGAGCAAAGAGCCTGCCTAAGGTACTCGTTTAGTGGCTCGCCAGTATCCGTAAAGCTGGCCTCCGTCCGAATGTCCAAAGCTCACATAGGGCTGGGTTCGCTCTCAGAAGGAATCTATGTATCCAAATCTATGTATACTATTGATTTGTCGCAAGTACGAATTCGACTAGACACCCTATGCTCCCTGAACAGGATATTCCAACGCTAATTCCAGCACGCGAGTGTAAAGCCTTTCACTTGCTGAGAAAGCTCGCTAGCAATTTGGTCAAACACAATTCCAAGGAAACATCCAAATTCTTACACTTCAACTTAAGAACAGAATGAGACTGACGACAGGAGTCCTAACGGGGCACTGCAACCAACAAAGGCTGCAGCCTCCCAACCCCGACTTCCTTCTGTCACAGCTGTCGCGATAAAGGATGCACACAGAAGGCAGCCAACACTTTCTGGGTATCTGTCCTGTGCTTGTTAGAAAACGTACTTGTTTCCGGGGAACTGTTCCTTGAAGAAGTGGACAGCCTGGACAGCTCTATCGAGTCCACCTAGGGCAACCAACATCCAGCCCCAGCCCCAGCCCCAGCCAAGCCCACCTCCTCGGGACAAACGGTTGCTCCTACATACTGTTTACGACTTACTAACATTTAATTTGAACAGCTAGTCGGAGAATCTTGCCTAATCGATTCTCCTCTTTGTGCACAGAGATGGCCCACATCGCCAGGCGGGGGGCCATGTTCCGGCACAGCCGCAGCCGTTGCAGAAGACGCTGACCTATGTGGTGTTCGAGAATGTGGATGTCGCCAGGGCAAATGACGCCAACTATGATTCCATAGCGACGCTCTGCAAGGTGCTGCTGGAGACGGACTACTACAACACGACGCCCTGTCGCTCCCAGTATGTCCAGCTGCTGGAGCAGAGCCGCTGGATGGGCTACGTGCGGCTCAAGCTGCGCGAACCGATGCCCATGCAGTGCAGCAGCCCGAGCAGCAGCCCCAGCTGCGACGAGGCCGACATCGATGGCGTCTACAGCAGCTCCGGCTACAGCACTATCGGTCCTGGCTCCAGCTCTAGTTCCGGTTCGGGCAGAGGCAGCTGGTGCGAGGGCGACTACGATCATGTGTATATAGCACGCCTGAATACACAGCGACCCATATCCGAGCTGAAGCTAATGTGCGAGGAGCCACTGCAGCGCAATGTGCTGCCCGAGGCGTGCGTCTGCCGGCTGAACAGCTGCCTGCCGTCCTGGCTGGAACAGAGCGACGACGACGATGTGGACTCCAATGAAAGCAGCAGCAGCGACGACGACGACGACGACCACGAAGAGGACGCTGCTCAAGATCTGCAGCAGTGGCAGGAGAGCAGCCGGAGCGGCTACGAGACGGTGCAGGTGCTGCGCCAGTGCCGCGTCGAGCAGCAGCGACGGCGCGATCTCCTCCAGCAATGCTATCTAAGCTCCCAGCAGTTCATGAACTACTTTGCCGAGCTGCTGCGCCAGCAGCTGGCTCGAGAGCTGGGCATCAGCCAGTCGCAGCTGTCGGCTGGCAGCTATCGCGGCTGCAGCATCTACACGGCCACGGAGGAGCTGGTGCCCGCCATCCATGTGCCGCACAGCTGGCCGGACTGCGCCTTTGAGTTCAATCTGCGCGCCCGTCCGCAGCTGACCAATCTGCATACGGGCGACAAGTTCCAATGGCCGACGACGCTGATGCGCAAGCGCATACAATCCTTTGGCTTTCATGTGGTGCCCGTGGGCTATGCGCCGAAGCGGGCGCGAAATCCCTTTCGGGAGCTGGAGTGGCGCATTGTATTCCCGCAGGCGGAGCAGTTCCTGGAGCGCCAGCTAACGCGCATGCAGCTGAAGATCCTGCTGCTGATGAAGGCCCTGGTGCGGACGTTCGTCAACGAGAAATGCCAGGCCATGGGTCACATCATGGAGCAGCTGCGGACGCATCTGTTCTGGCAATGCGAGCGACACAGCAACGACTGGCCGGAGGAGTTCTTGGGCGAGAGGCTGGTGCGATTCGTGCGCACCTTTGCCGATTGCCTGGCCAAGAAGCAGCTGAGCGACTATTTCATCGAGCGGCGCAATCTCTTCGAGCATGTGCCGGAGGACGCGCTCATGGAGCTGCGCGCCATTATGGCGGGCATAGCCGAGCAGCCGCTCATGCATGTGCTCCAGGCGCTGCGCAATCTCCAGCATGCCGATGACTTCTATCCCAAGCTCAACTATCGCCGGCTGCTCGACAATCTGCTGGCCCAGGACTATCTGCAGCTGCGCGGCTGGGCCAAGTTTGTGCGCAACACGCTGCCTGCGACGGAGGAGCAGCAGCCACAGCAGCGGGAACAGCAGCGGGAACAGCAGCAGCAGCAACAGCTGCAGCCGAGTGATGCAGAGGGTCTGCTGGGCATGCGTCAGCATCAGGAACGCACGCGCGGCAAGCTGCGCCGCAAGACACAAATGCTGCGCGCCCAGCAGCTGAAGCTGGCCGAGCAGCGACGCGACTCCGGCGAGTCCTTGACGCTCGACTTGCAGCTGCTGATGCCCCGCGCATCGCAGGCATCCCACACATCCAGCAACACATCCGCCTCAGCTGCAGCTGCAACAAAGACAACAACAACAACACCGCAGCTCAACGACGGCTTCGAGATTTTGCGACGCACCAATCTGCTGGAGCTGCTGCTCGATCACATGCTGGCCATGCTGGCCAAGGCAACGGAGTTTCGCAATGGACAGCACGCCCAGCTCTACTTGGAGCAGGCGCAGCGCCTGTGCCGGCTCTACCAGCAGATGGGCTGCGCCCAGTATGCCCAGCACTATGCGGACGCACTGTGCCAGGCGGCCAGCAGCATCGAACGGGCCACCACCAGCGCCAGCGCTAGCCGTGGCAGCCACGGCAGCCGCAGTGGCCACAGCAGCCCCGCCGCCAGCTGCAGATCCAGTCCGATGCGCCGCAAGTCACTCAAGTTCGTGGAGCACGTGGTGCAGATGCACTCAGGCGAGCTGCTGCCGCTGCAGCCACCCTCGCCACTACCCGCACCGCCCCAGACCATACAGCCAGAGCCCAAGCCAGAGCCCGAGCCCGAGCCCGAGCCGGAGCCAGAGCCAAAGCCAGAGCCCGCTGTGCCACCCAGCTCCATGGAGGGAAGCATGTTGGGCCCGCTGCTGCAGCGACTCCAAGTGGATCCTGGAGCACTGCAAGCCATAAGCAGCAAGACGGAGCAGCTGATGCAAACATTGGCGCCGGAAGCGAAGCGCGACGAGCTGCGCGACATGCTCAAGCGGAACACACAAAAGCTGAAGAGCGCTTTCAATTAGCAGCTCCTCTGCCCCCCCCCCCCCCCTCAGAAAGCCCGACTACTCCCTAGAGACGTTATATAAGTATATACTATATACATCAGTCAATCAGATTATCGGAATGGCCCTCATGTACGCCCGATTGGCTTCTGTCCGGTCTGCTGCCCATCCTGATAACTCGAGACTAATTGGAAAATGAAAACAAAGCGAAACGCAAGCAACTTATTGCGATCATGTCTAAAATAAAGCTGTTTGTTAAATGATAAGCAAGTTTTTTTTTTTGTATAATACACTAGCGGGTGTTACCCGGCTTTGCCCGGGCATACCTATAGCCATGTAACAGAACGAGCAAACGTTTTGACATTATCTGAGTTTCTTCTGGCCTATTTTCGAATTTGGGAACTTGAAGAATAGTTTGCAAAATTCCCTGATTGCGACTTCTTATCATATCATTAAAATAAAAACTAAACCAACTAATTAGTAGCAATCGCAGATTGTGTTTAACTTTCTAGTTAGCGATCTTCTTCAAGAGAATGGAAGATTTTTGGAATTTCGGAGCTGGAAGAATACTTTGCCAAATTCCCCGATTGCGACTTCTTATCATATCATTAAAAGAAAAAGTAAACAATCGCAGATTGTGTCTAACTTTCTGCTTCTTCCACAAGAGAGTCGCCGATAAAGTTCTTCTACGAACAATAACAAGATATCGCCCAATGCCAATATGCCAGGATGCATCCAATCGGACAACTATATGATATGGCTTGAATAGGAGGCAATTAGACTACTCACGTCAACGCCGTGCTCCGCGTAGAAATCTCCGGTGCCCATCGAGGCGTAGAGCTTGTAGCCCATTTTGGCCAGATCTCGAATGGAGGAAAGCAGCTCCATTTTGTGCTGTGGGCAAAAGAAGCAGGGAATTAAAATATATGTGGAAATTATATATGTAAAAGGGCGTCGCACCTTGAAGCTGCCAATGGATAGGAGGATGGCGTTTTTGGGTATCTGGAAGCCGGTGGACATCATGGCTTTAAGGTAGGCCTCGTAGCGATTGTCGCCAAAGCAGGCCACCTCGCCGGTGGAGGCCATCTCGACGCCCAGCTGGACGTCGGCGCCGGCGAGGCGCGAGAAACTAAACTGTGGCACCTTGACGCCCACCTTGCCGACGCCGTGGAGCACATCGATTGGCTCCACGTCCATGCCAACAATGGCACGCGTGGCCGTGGCCACAAAATCATGGTCCAGTGTCTTCGATACGAAGGGGAAGGAGCGCGAGACACGGACATTGCATTCGATGACCTTCAGCTCGTTGTTCTTGGCAATGAGCTGCATGTTGAAGGGTCCGGTGACATCCAGGACGCTGGCCAGGTCGCGTGTGATGCGCTTGATGGCCTCCAGGGTCTCGGCATTCAAGTCCTGCGGCGGTGTGACCAGCGTCGCGTCACCTGAATGAACGCCCGCGTTCTCCACATGCTCGGAGACGGCCATGCACAGGATTTGGCCATCGGCCGCAACGGCGTCCACGTCGATTTCCTTGGCTTCGGTCAAGAACTTGGATATGACCACAGGATGCTCGCGACTCACCGTCGAGGCGGCATTCAAATATGTCTCCAGATCCTGATCCGAGTATGCGACATTCATGGCCGCACCCGAGAGCACATAGGAGGGTCGCACCAGGCAGGGATAGCCCACCTCCTGGCAGAACTCGACGGCCGATTGAAGATTGGTCAGCTCCTTCCACAGCGGCTGCAAGATGCCCTTTCTGTCCAGCATGCGCGAGAACTTGAAACGATTCTCGGCACAGTCAATCGACTCGGGCGAGGTGCCCAGCACCTTGGCCTGCTGCCTATGCAGATCCATGGCTATGTTATTCGGCAGCTGGCCGCCCATCGAGAGTATAATGCCGTCGGATCGCTCCATTTCGTAGATATCCATGACGACTTCGAAGCTAATCTCCTCAAAGTACAAGCGATCGCACATGTCATAGTCGGTGGACACCGTTTCCGGATTGTAGTTAATCATGATGGTCGACTTCTTCAGATTGCGCAGCTCCCGCAGGCAGCCGACGGCGCACCAATCGAACTCCACGGAGGAGCCAATGCGATAGACGCCCGAGCCGACGACAATCGTATGGCCACCGGGAAAGAGGACATCATGCTCGGATGCATTGTACGTGTTGTATAGATAATTGGTGCTGGCGGGCCATTCGCCCGCCACGGTGTCAATCTGCTTGACATAGGGTCGAATGTTGTGCTCGTGGCGCTGCTGGCGCACGGCCAGCTCCGTGCTCTTGGTGGCCATGGCGATCTGCTTGTCCGCAAAGCCCAGGCGCTTGGCACTGAGCAGTAGGGCCGGCGTTAGCTGGCTGCCAGCCGACTCCAGCTGGCCATAGAAGTCGATGATGTGCTGCAGCTTGTGCAGGAACCAGCGATCGATTTTGGTCAGCTCGTGCAGCTCCTCGATGGACATGCCCGCCCGGAGGGCAGCGGCCAGCACAAAGGGACGACGATCTGTCGGCTCCGATAGCTGTTCCTTTTCGACGGGCGCCAGATACGGATCGAAGCCCTGGACATCGCTGTCAACCATGCGCAATGCCTTCTGGAATGCCTCCTCGAAGCTGCGGCCAATGGCCATCACCTCGCCGACGCTCTTCATCGAGCTGCCAATGTGCTTGCTGACGCGCACGAATTTTGCCAAATCCCAGCGTGGTATCTTCACCACACAGTAATCGAGGCTGGGCTCAAAGCAGGCCGTCGTATTGCCCGTCACCGAGTTGCGGATCTCCGGCAGCGGCTCGCCCAGCGACAGCTTGGCGGCGACATATGCCAGCGGATAGCCGGTCGCCTTGCTGGCCAGCGCCGAGCTGCGCGACAATCGGGCGTTCACCTCGATGATGTAGTACTGCTCCGAGTGCGGGCAGAGCGCATACTGAATGTTGCACTCGCCGACGACGCCGAAGTGCCGGATCACCTTGAGGGCGGTGCTGCGCAGCATTTGGTATTCGCGATCGGAGAGGGTTTGCGAGGGTGCGACCACAATGCTCTCGCCCGTGTGTATGCCCAGCGGATCGAAGTTCTCCATGTTGCAGACCGTGATGCAATTGTCGTAGGCATCGCGCACCACCTCGTACTCCACCTCCTTCCAGCCCTTCAGAGACTTGTCCACAATTAGCTGATTGGAATGGGCGAGCGCCTGCTGGGCGAGCGTCCGCAGCTCCTGCTCGTTGTTGGCAAACCCGGAGCCCAGGCCGCCCAAGGAGAAGGCGGCGCGTGCCATCACTGGATAACCCAAACGGCCGGCTGCATCCAGGGCCTCGGCCACGGTATATACCGCCTCGGATGGCGCCACACGTTCGCCAATCTCATTGACACGCTGGGCGAACAGCTTGCGATCCTCCGTCTCGATGATCGATTGTATGGGCGTGCCCAGGATGCGTACATTGTATTTGGCAAAGACGCCGGCACGCTCCAGCTCGACGCCGCAGTTGAGGGCCGTCTGGCCGCCAAAGGTGAGCAGCACGCCGTTGGGCCGCTCCGATTTGATGACCTGCTCCACATAGTCGGGCGTCAGCGGCAGGAAATAGCACTTGTCCGCCATGCCCTTGGACGTCTGGACGGTGGCAATATTGGGATTGATCAGCACCGTCTGTATGTTCGACTCGCGCATGGCCTTGATGGCCTGCGAGCCGGAATAGTCGAATTCACCGGCCTGGCCAATTGACAGGCCGCCGGAGCCTAATATGAGCACCTTGCGAGGTCGCGGCAGCGCCTCGGGCTGGGTGACGCGCAGCCGACGTGAGATTAGATTGGGCACGTCTATCTGCGGCTGGCTTATGGCTTCGAGGAAGACATCGAAGAGGAACTCGGTATCCTTGGGACCGGCATGATGCTCCGGATGGAACTGCACCGAAAAGTAGGGCTTGGTGCGGTGCACAATGCCCTCGTTGGTGCCATCGTTGGCATTGACAAACAGCTCCTCCCAGTCGGCGGGCAGCTTGGCCAGATCGACGGCATAGCCGTGATTCTGCGAGGTGAGCAGACAGCGCCCAGTGGCGCGATGCAGGCAGGGCAAATTGTGGCCACGATTGCCGTACTTCATCTTGTACGTGTCGCAGCCGATGGCCGTGGCCAGCAGCTGATGGCCCAGGCAGATGCCGAAAATGGGCTTATTGCCAGCCTGCAGAACGCGCTTCACTTGCTCCACAATCGGCTGGCAGCTGGCCGGATTGCCCGGTCCGTTCGAGAGGAAGAGCGCATCGTACTGATCCTCCCTCAGGTCTGCGCTCCAGGGCAGCAGCTGCACGGAGGCGCCGCGCTGCACCAAGCAGCGCAGCTGATTCAGCTTCAGGCCGCAGTCCATGATGGCGATGCGTGGTCCGCTCGACTGCGGCGACTTGTACAACAGCGGCTTCTTGACGGCGCACTCCTTGGCCAGATTGCGCTCGTTGGGATCCTCGAACGGAGCCAGCTGCTTGCCCGGCTTCTCGTAGACAATGCGTCCCAGCAGGCTGCCCTGCTCGCGCAGCTTCTTGGTTAAGGCGCGCGTATCGATGCCGCTGATCCCGGGTACCTTGTGCTCCGCCAGCCACTCGGACAGCGTTCGCTGTGAACGCCAATGCGAGGGCGTGTCGCATATCTCACCCACCACCAGGCCAGCCACCTGGACGGCGCCCTCCAGCCACTCAAAGTGCTCCGGCAATCCAAACTCGTCCAGTTGATTAACATCCGGCACTCCATAGTTGCCAATTAGCGGATAGGTCAGCACCAGAATCTGCGCACTGTACGAGCGATCCGTCAAGGCCTCCGTATAGCCGACCATGCCCGTTTGGAACACCACCTCGCCGCTTGTGGGCGTGCTCTTAGCGCCGAATGACCAGCCCGGCATCACGGTGCCATCCTCCAGCACAAGATAACAATTCGCTTCGTCCATTTCGCAGCTGAATCAAACCAAATATGCTTAATCTTTAGTTAACGAAAGAATTATCCAAAAAAAAGATCGAAGGGCATAATTCACGACAAATATAAGCTATATATTTACAGATAAACTAGACTCTCAGAGGTCTAGAAAAGCTATTTTTGGGGTTTCCAGATATTTGGACCAAACTTGGCATTTACAAGTTTTCTTTCTTGGCTTTCAAAAATATTAAAGATACTTCATAGATGAGGATTCAGAGATTATTTCTCTTTGATATCAACATTTCATTTTTATCATACCATAATTCTTGCCCGAGTCTCCTTTTTCTAATGGAGCTCACATTTCAATTGCAAAG